CCCAAAGTTGCTCCAATCGCAACACAAATCTTGTCACGTTAACAATACACCTCTGACAAAACCCACTTATCAATCCTCGTCAATAGGATGATAAGTCCCCAAAGTTGCTCCAATTGCAACACAAATCCTGTCACGTTAACACTACACCTCTGACAAAACCCACTTATCAATCCTCGTCAATAGGATGATAAGTCCCCAAAGTTGCTCCAATCGCAACACAAATCTTGTCACGTTAACAATACACCTCTGACAAAACCCACTTATCAATCCTCGTCAATAGGATGATAAGTCCCCAAAGTTGCTCCAATTGCAACACAAATCCTGTCACGTTAACACTACACCTCTGACAAAACCCACTTATCAATCCTCGTCAATAGGATGATAAGTCCCCAAAGTTGCTCCAATCGCAACACAAATCTTGTCACGTTAACAATACACCTCTGACAAAACCCACTTATCAATCCTCGTCAATAGGATGATAAGTCCCCAAAGTTGCTCCAATTGCAACACAAATCCTGTCACGTTAACACTACACCTCTGACAAAACCCACTTATCAATCCTCGTCAATAGGATGATAAGTCCCCAAAGTTGCTCCAATCGCAACACAAATCTTGTCACGTTAACAATACACCTCTGACAAAACCCACTTATCAATCCTCGTCAATAGGATGATAAGTCCCCAAAGTTGCTCCAATCGCAACACAAATCCTGTCAAGTTAACACTACACCTCTGACAAAACCAACTTATCGACTCTCTCCAATAGAGCGATAAGTCCTCAAAATTGCTTCCATAGCAATATTTTTCCTGTCACGTTAACACTACACCTCTGAAAAAATCAACTTATCGACTCTTTCCAATAGAGCGATAAGTTCTCAAAATTGCTTCCATAGCAATATCTTTCTTGTCACGTTAACACTACACCTCTGACAAAATCAACTTATTGACTCTCTTTAATAGAGCGGTAGGTCCACAAAGCAGTCAAGTTAACATCACACCTCTGACGACCAAACCAACTTATCGACTCTCTCCAATTGAGCGATAAGTTCTCAAAATTGCTTCCAAAGCAATATCTTTCTTGTCACGTTAACACTACACCTCTGACAAAATCAACTTATCGACTCTCTCCAATAGAGCGATAAGTCCTCAAAATTGCTTCCATAGCAATATTTTTCTTGTCACGTTAACACTACACCTCTGACAAAATCCGCTTGGTCTGTTGGAACTTCTTGGCAGCGAAAAGAGGATCCTTCATCCTTCGGTTGGAGCTTTGGAGATCGGCAACAAGATCTTCTTCATCCTTGGCTTATAACCGACTTTCGGTTAAATCAACTCTTTCATAGAGTTTTAAACTCGTTCAGAGTTCTCCACAACGTCAAATCGTGAGGAGAAGACATCGTTCCAGTGAATCAAGACGTTCGGATCGTCAACGAGAAGCAAACTCGACGCGAGCATTCGAGGGAGGCATCTCATCGCCACCGTGAAGAACCCAGTTTTAAATAAAGGGGAGAATCAAATTCATTCTCCTCTCTTTTGTAATCGGAATCCAAATTGTAATTGATTTTGAGAGGAATACAAGTCAAATTTTTCTTTCATTGTCTTTTTACTTCAAATTTCCTACAAACAAAAGATTGCGTTACAGAGTCAAAACGCCCAGGCTTAACTCTGCGTTTTCAACATCAAAACGCAGAGTTAATCGCTAAAACAGCACAACTGTGCGTTTTCAGCCTTTAAACAGGCCAACTGTGTGTTTACAGGTCAACTGTGCGTTTATGGGCTCAACTGTGCGTTTTTAGCCTGAAACAGGCCAACTGTGCGTTTACAGGCCAACTGTGCGTTTACGGCTCAACTGTGCGTTTATGGGCTCAACTGTGCGTTTTTAGCCTGAAACAGGCCAACTGTGCGTTTACAGGCCAACTGTGCGTTTACAGGCCAACTGTGCGTTTACAGGCCAACTGTGCGTTTACAGGCCAACTGTGCGTTTACAGGCCAACTGTGCGTTTACGGCTCAACTGTGCGTTTATGGGCTCAACTGTGCGTTTTTAGCCTGAAACAGGCCAACTGTGCGTTTACAGGCCCAGCTGTGCGTTTTCAGCCTCAGCTGTGCGTTTTCAGCCTCAACTGTGCGTTTTCAGCCCAGCTGTGCGTTTTTCAGCTCCAGCTGTGCGTTTTCAGCCCCAGCTGTGCGTTTTTCAACCTCAACTGTGCGTTTCAGGTCCAGAAACGCACAGTTCGAGCCCAGAACGCTGTTTTCAGCGTTTAACTCGTTCAAGCACGATTTGAACGGTTCCAGAACCGTTTTCTCCCCAAGATTTTAGGGGATCACTACCCTATCATGGAGAGATTTATGGGGAGCAGTTAGACCCCATTAAACCCTCATTAAGGAGATATTTAAGGGGGCGGTTATACCCTTAACCCCCTATAAATACCTCAAAACTCAACTGAGTTCGGATCCTCTTTTTTTTGGAGGGGGGGAGCTGACTTTTTGGGGATCCTTGATCGAGCATCTTGCCGCGTTCTGCAGCAACAAGGAGTTTTGGAGACCAGCAACAGGAGCTTCTTCCTTGGCTTATTAACCGAACTTTCGGTTCAAATCAACTCTTTTTCAAGAGTTCAAACTCGTTCAGAGTTATCAACTCGATCAGAGTTCAAAACTTGCTCTGCAAGTTCTTCTAAAACTCGTTCAGAGTTATCAACTCGATCAGAGTTCAAAACTTACTCTACGAGTTCTTCTAAAACTCGTTCAGAGTTATCAACTCGTCAAGAGTTATTTCAAAACTTGCTACGCAAGTTCTCCACAGCGTCAAATCGTGAGGAGATGACATCGTTCCAGTGAATCAAGACGTTCGGATCGTCAACGAGAAGCAAACTCGACGCGAGCATTCGAGGGAGGCATCTCATCGCCACCGTGAAGAACCCAGAATTAAACAAAGGGGAGAATCGAATTCATTCTCCTCTCTTTTGTAATCGGAATCCAAATTGTAATTGATTTTGAGAGGAATACAAGTCAAATTTTTCTTTCATTATTTCTTTTACTGCAAATTTCCATCAAACACATTTATTAAGCAATATATTATCAAACCACTTAAAGAAATCATAACCTATTAAATTATCATACAAATAAAATTGACATTCATGAAAAGAATAACTACTAGATATTAACTCTAGAATTCATAACCTATCAAAACCACTCAAGATAAGTATAGATTATCAAATTCTTCTTTTACCAATTAGCTCTCTAGCTGATTATCTTAAACATGATCATTTTAAGCATAAGAGAATAATTCACAAATTATAAAATAAATCAAACTAGTTTCATATAATTTTAAAATTTCTACAAGAATTAGTTCCACATCTTAGAAAATAAAAACAAAGAAATAAAATCTAGACTAGAGAGAATAAAAGAAAGATAATGAAAATAAAAACCAACAATAAAGAGGAAAATAAGAACTAATATTAAAGATCTAAACTATGAACAAACAGACAAGAACATAAAAGGAAATATAAACTATACAAGAATATAAATCTATACTACTAAATAAAAAGATAAAAAAATAATGTAAATAAAAGTAAATCTATTTTACAATGCATCAAAAAAAATATTGGATCCTTAGTTCTTTATGTGGGTATTTTACTTCCGCCAGGGCCTTTCTTCAAGCCAAGATACATGAGGTTGACCTTCTTCAAATCACCACTAAAGGGTATGCCCCCCAAAACCAATGAATTACTTGGCAAACATCTCTTTATGGTGGCGTTTGTAGAGATCTATCGACGGAGTTTGACCTATCAGAGAGGCATGTTGTGATTGTTGGGTGCCTGCGATCAAAGCACGCCCAGGATTTTTTGTTGGCCACGCCTTTTGAGGGATTTGGGCAGCGTATGACTCCGGGGGAGTACCAGGCCATCCTCAGATACAGGTTGTTGGTTCCTTTGTTCGTGGAGGGAACAATGTGCCCAGTTTGTTGTAGAACGCAGATGGATGCTTTTGGAGAGCATGTCATCCACTGTCAGAAGCAGCCGGGGTTTAAGTACTTACACGACTTAGTCAGAGATGTCTTGTATGATATCCTCCAAAGAGCAGGGATCCCATCAAAGAAGGAAGCGCCGGTCAACCTCCTCACTCCTCCTGGAGAGGCTAGATCTACTCTAAGGCCGACAGACGTTCTTGTCTACAGTTGGAGCCGGGGGGAGGGGGGGGGAGCACGCTTGTGTTGATCTCACATGGGTGTCTCTGTTGGTGGGGTTTAGTAATGGAAAGTTCAAGGTTGGGCATGCAGCGGATAGAGCGGCAGAGGCAAAGGTGGCCAAACATGATCAAGCTTGTAAGGACAACCACCACAGCTTCATCCCGTTCGCTTTCCATACGTTTGGTTTCCTCGCAGCTGATGCAGTGGAGTTCCTCAGGAGGGTACAAAAACTCATGAATAGTAATGTGGGGTCGGCTGAGTACATGTTTAGTAGGTTAGGTTTTGTAATACAGAAAGGATTAGCGGCGCAGCTTGTTGCCCGCTGGTCATCAACACATGTGTAATTTTTTTTATCTTAAATTTTTTTCTTATAACAAAACAAAAACAAACAAACTAAAGTAATTAATTAAAAATAGAGAGTTAATTGCGACATACAATTGACATTATACAACACGGAAGTGATGTATTGCTGTTATAAATTATAGTTACCCTGAGATAATATAATACCCAAATATACAGGGTTGTTTAAAGGAAAAACCAATTCTGAGGACGTAAAATGTGAAACAAAGTCATTTTATCTATAAGGTTTTACATCACTACAACTAAATCCTCTCATTGATATTCATAATTTCTAGCTAGGTAAGAAACCATCCTTTAATTGGTAAACCTACAAATTTTCAATAAAGAAAGATTTGACCAAAAATACAGGTCCCATAAAAAAATTTGAAGATACTCCTGCGTTCTTTAAAGGCTAATAGAACGATTTCAAGGGGCTTAAAAGTAAAATAAGCCTCAGTATAAAATGGCCGGATGAGGGAGTCGTGCGAGAGAGAGAAGGAAACAGCGGAGATGTTTTTGTAGGTTGAGACTCGACATCGCCGCCCCGCGAAAAGGATCTCCTCCTCCTCCTCCTCCTCCTCCGCCCTTGTCGTCAAAATCCTCTCTTTCTCAAGGTCAGACACCGATCTCTAATTAGGGCCTCCGATTCGATTGAGGATCAATTCGATTTTGTTATTAGCGTTAGGGTTAGGGTTAGGGTTAGGGTTTCAGCATCGCGCGTTGCATCCCCGATTACGATTAGGGTTTACGACGATCGTCATCTTAAATTTATTTTGATTTTTATTCCTTCATTAAATATGCAAGACCTGTATTTGCTCTCTTAATCGGGGATTTAGGGGTTTTCTCCTTTTGTTTTTCATTTCGAAGCTTTTTTATTTTTCTGGGTAGCTCTACTTTTATCGATAAGAGCATGCGAGTTCAAAGAACCGAAGGTGTTGGGAGGGGGAGAGGGAGAGGGAATGGTAGAAATCGCTCTCCCGGCCCCTGCAGGGGTAAAGATCATCGATCGTCGTATCGTAAGAACCCTCCTTTGCCCCACCATCCCTCCCGCCGCAGCCTCAGCGCCCATGCTAACAGGCAGCGGGGCCCCCGCCGAAGCCCCAGCCCCCTGACCACCAGGCCCCGGCTGTCCCCGGCTCGTCGGAGCCCACCAATTGAGCAGCATGCAGAAAGGCTTTACACGATGAGGCGTTCTGAACAACATGAGAATCGAGATTGGCCCAACTCCTTTGGTGACGACAGCGAACACATCAATTTCCAGCACAAATACATGCTACCAGAGCATCCTCCTGATTCGGCTGATGTGCATTCTCTCCTGAAGCCTTCACGAACTGTCAAAGATAAAGACTTGGCTGGTTCTTCCACTTCTGGTGTTGGCAACCAAGGAATGCTGGTCCAGAGATCTTTGCTTATGGATGATGGGTCCCAGAGGACTTTCTACACGCTACCGCAGGACCTGGGGCATCATCCGTTTGAGTCTACTACTGCTTCTTTGAACCCATCATCTGCTAACGCGAGGAGCATTGGAAGTGGTAGTAGCCTCACTGTTGGGATGCCTCGTTATGACCAGAGACTGGGAAATCTTTATCATGATAAAGAGAGGGAGAAGCTTTATTCCAAAGATGTTTCTTTCTCAGTGATGCCTCCCTCGAGGCCTTTTATTGGGACCTCCTCATCTAGCTTTTCTAAGGACACTGAGTTGCCGCTAAATGGCGACCGAGATGGTGGTGTTGGCAACTTCTTAGATGACCCTCTGGAATATGATGGTTACAAACCAGTGCAGCTCTCTGATCGTGCAAGGTGGGGCCCACTGAGCCCACGTGCCAAGGAAGAGACCCTGGACTATGGTTATGAGGAACCAACTCAGAGGGTGAGGCATGATCATGGTTACCTTCCATTGGATGGCCCTTACAACAAGAAAGAGTATGGCTTTAGGTCTGAGTTCAGGAGTTTAAATGATTCATCTTTCCTGGATCCTTCTGATGGAAGAGCTGATACTTATCCTAAAAAATTCAGCAAGGGCAGTTTTTGGGAACAACAACATGCCGTTCATGAAGATGTGACAATGGGTCTTCGTGATCTGAAGGGGGTCCGCGAGGACTATGTTGGCAGCTCTGGAGGTGGGTATGCTGGATTTGGACCAAAAGCCTCGCGAGACTACTGTCGTCCAACATTCGAAGAGAGCTATCGTTTTGGGAGAGATGATGGCTCACTGACTTATAGAAAAAGGCCTAACAGTCCTCTGTTAGCAGACCGTCCGTTTGGTGTGAACCCCCCTAGAGAAAGATCAAGAATGGATGTTGATACTTTTGATTTGTCACCCGAAAGAATCTTAAGAAGAAATCATCTCATGGTTAATGATATGGATGGACGAAATGCTCATAGAAGAATGCAATCACCCAGTGATGGTGATGAAATGTGGACAAACGAAGCATATGAGCCCATTGAAGAAAGCAGGCGGGTTTTACATTCGAAAAAGCGAGTTGCTGGGCCTTCTGATTATAGACCGCTCTCTCGGAAACCATCTAGAAATGATGGATGGGGTGTACCAAGGGATTCTCGTGGGCATATGGATGGTGGTCATGGGACTAACTTGAAGAAAAGGCTGAGGCCTGGTCCTTCAAACTCCCATGGTTCATTCACTGTGGAGAGAAAGCAAGAGTATTTCAGGCCCCATAAAAATTGGAAGAGGGATCAAGAATATAAGAACATTAACCTCAATGTTCGTGATGAAGGTGTCCTGGTTGATGCTGCTCACCCTATGAAATGTGATCCTCAAGAAGATTCTGAGGAGTTTAAAACACAAGTTCATAAGGCCTTCCTACGCTTTTCTAAGCTGTTGAACGAGAGTCCGCACCAACAGAAAAGGTTTCGAGATAACCAAGGGAAATCCAGCAAAGTTCTGTGCTGCGTATGTGGCAGGTCTGTTTTCTTATATGACTCTGGGAGCTAAACGCTTAATTGCACATTATATTTTGATTCTAAATACCTCCTTTTCATTTCACTTGCCTCTGCAAGCCATTAGGAAGAATGTTTTATGAACCTGTATTGGAAACAGTGTCTTATTGATACAGCATCAAGCAAGCGTGAATGAATCTTATAAGGTGTCAAAATATGCCTCTTCAATATGAAACGTGAGCTTAATACGATATCCATATGCCCTTGTTACCTATATTAGGATAGTGACTGAGACACCTGACATGGATTTATTCCTTTTCGGTAGATTACAAGTCTCCAAGGTGAGAACACAAAGCTAGCCATGCATAAGAATATATTTTTTTGCAGAGATATTCTCTGTTAATTTAGTATTAGCAGCATCTTCTTCAACAGTAGCAGCTCCTGGTTGAACCTACTCTTCAGGATATCCAGAATACCAAGTATGAGCGTTCAGAAGTTTCCAGAATACGGTTTCTGATGCTTATTCAGCCTATCTCTGCTTCATTTATATATATTTTTAATATATTTGTCGTGATGTTAGATTCAGTAGTAAGTTTACAGATGGCGTTTCTCTATCTCGCGAACTGATTTATTCCATAGGTTAAAGGTGCAAGATACAGGACATTGCCTGTATGATGAGTTAATTCATGGTGATGAAGGAATGCAGGCTGATGGGATTTACTGGTCCTATTTGACAAGTAAAGATTTTGTAGAATGGTTATTTAATGCTAAAGCTGAATAATGAATGAAAGGGCTTGGTCTTTGACATACTAGTGCTTTTATACTATCAGCGAGTAATGTCTGAATACTTTTCTGAACAAGTATGAAAGAATTCCAGAGCTGAGATGGGGTTTAGTACTTTTATGAGGAAGAGCATTTGCTTGTTGGGCATCCAGTATGTGATCTGTAAAAGGTACCGAAATGTGGGATGGATAACCCAATTTGGGTTTTAAAACATTTTATTGGCTTCTAAGTCGTACTTGTTTTTGTTGAAGGGGTTCTTCAACTGCCTTGCTATTTTGTGAGTTCATCTTTCCAGCATATATATATTGATCCTACTTGTCCCAGCTCTTGGGTAAGGTTATGTTCCTTTCACTGTCGTCAGTTGGTGATGTTTCCTTGCGATATAATGAGCTATTTTATAATGTAAACCTTAGACGAAATAGTCTATATGGTAGCTACCTTGGAGAGTTTCCGTAAAGTTGATCACATATGGTTTGCTGCTATTGTTTTAAGATCTTTGAAGTTCTTAGCTTCAAATTTACTTATATAAGCTTTTGCCTGTTCAGCGTGCAACAGTTAACTGTTTATGTAAGGTTTTGCTGTTGTGTGCGCTATCCATTTATGGTTTGTTTTTGCGCAGACAAGTTACCCATTAGTTGTAGTTCAGATCTATCGGTATTACATAAGTGAGATTAACTTTTCCACTTTTATCACCTGGGTTTGGTCACTCCGTGCTAAGAAGCACCGACTCGTGAAAACTCCCCCCGTCCCCGTGTCCGACGCTTGTCGGGGACGGACGCGCGTTCGACACGCGTTCGACACGCGTCGGACACGGCGTCAACGGCGTCGACACGGTCAGCTCTAGTCGACACGGCGAAGTTGAGGGCGACACGGCGAAGTTGAGGGCGACACGGCGAAACCAGAATTTCAAACCCAAACCCGAAACCCAATTTCAAACAGAAACCCAAACCCTAACCCTAGTCGTGAGAAAACTTACCCGATTGAAGTCGAAAGGGCTCTTGCGAAGTGAAGAGGCGCCGCCAGCTCTCAGTCTCCTCCTCGTCGTCGTCGTCGTCAGCTTCTTCTTCGTCGTCGTCGTCGTCTTCAGCTCCAAGGTCAGTCCCTCTCTCTCTCTCCCCCCCCTCTCTCTCTCTCTCTCGGACTCCGCTCTCGCTCTCGCTCATCCCTTTCCCTCTGGTTCTCTCTTTCTCTCTCTTTCTTATCTCTTTCTCTCCCTCATTTATCTCTTTCACACTCTCACCATAAAAAAACCCGCTAACTTTCCCGAAAAACCCCCCACGAACGCCACAGGTAATTAGTATAGTGATCTTTGGTTACTGTGTTTCTGTTCGACGTTAACTGGTATACTGATTTCTGGTTACTGTCTTACTGTTGGGGGTTAACTAGTATAGTGATTTCTGCTTACTGTTTTGCTGTTGGGGGTTATATTTGTCATTGATTACACAAGCCAGTGTTACATAATAATACAACATAAAAATTGATCTATTTTTCTATATGTTCATCTTTTCTTTCTTATCTTCTTTAACATTATTATCTTTAATTCTCCAAGAGATCATTGTCATCCCGACATCTTACTTCACACCTGCAACACACACAGACACACTTTCCATTAGTTTCTTATTTATAATCCCCACTTTACATAACAAAAAATATGAAAATGTAATAGGAATTTAATTCAATATTGATCTATATATAATAATAATATTAAAAAATCTAGCCGTGTCGCCGTATCCTATTTTTTGGGGTTTTGCCGTATCCGTGTCCGTGTCCGTATCGTGTCCGTGTCGCCGTGTCCGTGTCCGTGCTTCATAGACTCCGTGCTCTTGTGTACCCTGCCAAAGTCTTCTTCAGTCATGGATACTGATTCGGCTTTTGCTACCAATGCTGAAGAAATCCTGTCTCAGCCAGAGACTCTTAAAGAAAAAGGTTATCTGGATGAGTGCGAAAGAGAACTTCTTTCTGTGAGACATTAAAAAACCTGGACTGGTGGTCAGGTTAAGGTTAAGGTTCAGGTTCAGGTTCAGATTGCCTTTGGGTCTGGCCCTCAATAGGTTATCACAGGACATGATTTTAGGTTGCCACTACAGGATTATCATGGGACAGGATTTTAGGTTACATAGCGTTGATTTGGTACCGACTCATTCAAAGGGCTATTTCACTCTGCCGCAGGTTGAAAAGGGCTTTATTGATTCCATGGGAGAAGACGTCGGATATGACAGTCTGCAATTAACTTCTGAGAATGGGAAAAAATGATTTCAGAATGCCAATACATACCTGTGCTTATGGGAGTACATGTCCTGTCACTTCGTCCTAGTATTGCTGCTTAACAGCCCCAAACCAAGTGTGCATTTTTCATGTGTGATTTGGTCCACTCTTACTTCTGTCAGTATATGAAGCTTGAATGCTTGAATATACTAATGATGTTTTTGTGATGTCAATTGGAGCAGTTTCTCGTGTCCCCTACTTCAGAGCTTTAGATGCTTTTGAAGTTATCTTATAATTTATGTGTTCTTGATTGACTGTCTTTATTCGTTCTAATCTACACTATGCTTTTGAAGTTATCTTATAATTTATGTGTTTCTTCTATTCATGAACTGCTTCACCTTGTGAATTTTTTGGCTTGCTATTTGTACTATAATTACTCAAATTACTATGATTATGTATTTCTGGACTATTAATAAATTGCTTCGTCATTTACTTGAACTGTACTGTGGCTTGGAACATTCATTTTCAAGCTAAACAAGCATCCCACACTGTCGCATGTTACCGTTTCACTATTTTTTTTAATCGCTTATTGCCCCCCCCCCCCCACCGTGACAGACCCCCCACACACACACACACCCCACAGTGAGCTGGATGTAAATGGGCGGAATCTTGATGGTAGATTGTGTTATATAAGGCCTTGTCACTTGAACTCTTCTTAAACGATATTCCTGTTGCCTGGACTTTTTCTCGTTGTTGCCAGTTTACCCTTATCATCAGCGTTTGTTAATTCGGAATTCTTTTTCAGCCTTTCGAAGGAGTTCTCCGATGTACACAGCCTATTGATTCATTCCTATCAAACTCGCAAGGTAGGTTTAAGAACAGAACATTTGGGCTTTCACAAAGCACTCTGTGTTCTTAATGGATGGAATTGGCTTGGAAGCTGATCTCCAAGGCCTATAAACGAAGACCTCTCAGCAGGAATTAAGGAATTGAAGGAAGATCTCATTCTTTGGGCTCCAATCATCATTGTACACAACAGCTCCGTAGGGAGCACGAGCAGAAGCAATGAGCCAAAGGTTGTAACCATTGAATGCTTCGAAGAGATACTCAAAGGTTTGATATCTACACCAAATCTTTTCAGTTGGAACTGATGTTCAATATTTTTCTAATCTAGGTGTTGGTTGATTAATTCAATTTTATCAGTTCTGCAATAACGAAATAAATTACTGCCTAGCATTTGACCATTATATTTTCCCATGCTGTTTCCTCCATCTTATTAAACCTAATCTTTTACATTATTGGATACTTGAAATTTTTGCTTTTTTAGGAATTCAGCAGCTTTGAATTACTTTTTGTTTTTATTTATGCTTTGTCATCTTATTCACAAGATGATATCTCAATATTATTTTATCTAGTACCACCTGATAGTTAAAACGCTCTACCTTGTTATCCTTTTATCTGCCTTTACTAGTACTTTGGGCACTTTAGGATAACTGATTTTAGATATTCCCAAGCGCAATCCATCTCTGGAAAAAGCCGAATGAGAGAAAGCAAAGCTTCCGATCTAAGCGACAGTCATAGCTTCGGTTCCACAGGAGGAAATAAAAAAGGATTCCTGTGTCTACTAGGTAGTAGAAGTCATGCCCTACCAAGAGCAAGAGCCATGTCTCTTGACAAAGGTCAGTCTCTAATTGACTCGTTGATCATCCCACTCCGAAAGCCGGGATTTCATACAAAACTTGCAACTCCCGGGGAGGGAAAGGCAACCGTCCTGGGCAATGCCGCTATTCAAAAGCCACGATGCACCGATGGTGGTATGGCGAAGCAAGGATCCAAATTTATTTTCTTTTTCCTTTTTGGACACTGCTTAGAGTAATCAATCTATGTCACACTGCGATATATTTTGGTTCATAATTTTTAGTTTGCAGTGCGCATCATCTGACTTCAATATATCTATGTAACACTATTTCGTTGTATATACGATTCAGAGATGGGATTCGATGCCGGGAAGGTTCGTGTCTGCAGAGGTAAACCAGCTAACCAGAGCGTGCTTGTAGTAAAGTTCTCGCCTACTCTTTCTGGGTTGCAAGAAGCAGAAAGGCTTCACAACTTTTATGCTGATAAGAATCGGGGTAGGCAAGGATTTGAGGAGCTCACTTCTAACCACGGCAACAGAGAAGCTCGAGTAGAAAAAGATGAGGAGCTTTTATATGGATACATGGCGGTTGCTGAAGATTTGGATAAGCTCGATCCAGAAACCAAGAAGAGAAGTTTAGTCAAGAGCAAAAAAGACATCAAGGCCGTTGCAGACGCCCCCCTTAAAATTGACTAGGCTGGAAGAAAGTAGGTACTTAGCCGCTTACCGGTCTATTCTTGAGCTAATTTGAACAGGAAATAGGTACCTAGATCCTAGCTGTGAGCTATTTTGAGCGGATGATTAATACATTTTGTCGTTTGTTTTTCACTTTTTATAATTATGTAGGATAGTTGGTAAAAGTAATGACCACGCTTTTGTAGTGAGGCCTCATTCATGTCCTACATTTGGTTTTTCTCATGTTACGAACTTATTAGCTTCTCTGCGATGTTCTGAATGTTTTCCTTACTATGTGAAAGAGAGAAGAAAACAACGTCGTGTGATGATCCACAGTCTCGACCCATCACTCACAGCTCACCTTTTGGTCTGATTCTGCGTATCAGCATTCAGTGCATTCCACTATGGTGTGTAGTCTCTTAACGTTTTTTGTGATATTTCTTGGGCGTTTCTTTCTTTAGTTAGTCCTGCATGTACTAAGCTGAAAACGGAGTAGTTAGTAAAAGCTTGTTGCAAAAAGCAAATTAAGCGATCACCGCCACCATAACAAGAAACCAAAAAGGAGTATCGGTCATTGTTTCAATTCTCATCTCATCAGTCAGTATGGCAAGATAACGGAGGTTTCCTATACCAAATGTAAAGGTAGAATAAAAAGATTTATTCAAGGTACCCTCGTAACGTGAATTTCCAGCAGGAAGTTGATTTTTATGCTTCAGCATCGTAACGCCTCTCTTGATTATGGGCTGCTATACCATTCACTAAATAATCAGAATTGTATTACAACATTATCGACCGCAAGCAAGCGAACGCGCGCATACAAAGGCCTAAATTCCCAAAGAAAATGAATCCAAACTATTAAATTTAACAACATCCACCTAACATCTCCATTGATGTAATAGCTTCCAACGAAAAGAAAAGGAAAATAATTCTATCTAGATTCTAGGGCGACAAAGAAATCAACTCGAAGATTTCTTAATTGGGCACATTTCTTATTGCTATGAACATAAATATCTTCTGATGTGGAGCACAGATTAATTAAGCTAAGCGTATAGCACGTCATAACTTGTAGCATATGCCAAAATCACATAAATATTTAAAAAAAAAATTCTTTTTCCTCCATACTATTTTTTTTTTAATATACATACAGTTTCAGGAAAAGGAAGTGGTTAATCTGCATATCAACAAGGTTTACCATCTTAAGTGATCCATCATTGTCTGGCGACTCTCTTTATTGCGCAACTATTTCTTACAGATACATAATAAGATTCAACTATTGAATAAAAGAAAGGGAAGGCTTTATTTAACTTAAATTAAAAAGACAAGCATAAATAGGAGGCATACATAATTTGGAGCAAAATATAAATTGCCAGCCCCATTAGAAGAACAAGGTCAGAATGCTACTATCCCCAGACTATGCATTTATGCTTTTCTCCCATATATTCTGGAACAATGGATTCTGGGATGTGCAAATGAAAACTGTTCTGCTCCTGATATAAGATATAAATCTTCGGCATCAGCTTCGCTCCCTGCACTCTTCGAACGCTTGAGGTTTTATACGCTTCAAGAATTGTGAGCAGCTTCTTAAATGTGGCTATTTGCATAGGCATCAGTCCTCTGCAAGAGCATAGACAACAGCAGTTCTGCTAGGGGCATACACCATGAAGGAACAAGGCCTATCATCATACATTCCGTCCTGCATGCTCAAAGATAGGAGGTTTTCAAGTTCCCCAGTAAAGTCAAAATGTCATTCTCAAAACAGGCTGATGGTACTTACATTAGTGAAATACTCTGCATTAGGATCAACCCGGCTGAATCCACCAAACAGTTTATCATCAGAATTGAGAACCATCTGGAGTAAGGATAAATATTGTTAACTTCCAATTCATACCTTTCAATATCAGGTAGAATGCCATTTTTTAAAGAGAACCTAGAGGGAATGGGACATATGACCTGGATTTGTGAAGCATACTACATCTTGCAAGTTACCCAGTACCATAGGTATTTAATAATCACTACCAAATTCTCAAGGCATGCAATTATTGTAATTATTTGACTACAATTACATGTTATTGTATCCATAGATATTACTTAGTCCAGTGTATTGTATCCATGCATGTTTATTTTATAGGTCAATGCATGAACCTGACATGCCAATTACAGAGAGGGACTATTACTTGCCCCAGTTGACATGACAATTATGGGGAATAGCATATTACTCCATCTCTTCTTTATTTTGCCTAAATTGGGGTTTTACCAATTAGCGTAAGGACACTTAAACTTCACACATTGTCTAGCGCTTGCCTATAGACCAAATATAATAAATAAATCTATCAATTAGCATGTCGAAAAGCTGAAAAGCCAAAGAATACCGCAAGTTGCATCTGACAGGAAACATTCAGCTAAAAACCAATAAATATTTTCTGACGATACTTCATATATGTCTGAGGTTATACAAGTAATAAGAAACTGGAGAGAAGATATTGAATGACAAAATCTACAGAAGATATATGGAGCACTGAAAGTAGAATGATCTGACTACTACTTTGTGGTCAACTGATACATACCTTGTACTTTCCAGGCTGAAAGCAACCAACTCGGTAGTCGAAATAACTATTACTCCAGTGAAAATTGAAGACAAATACCAAGTCTCCTCGTTCAAATACAATGACCTTATCACCTTCATCTTTCCTTGATATATATTGGTGATCTGAAGTCATGAACTGCAAAGTTTCCATGGTTCCATTTAGCATTATGTCATATTTTTTTTAATATATCAAAGTTGCGCAAAACACTGAAGTTAATGAACACTTACTATTTCACAGTTCTGCAGAACAATGAGTTAAATTTATAGTAACATGTATCATCAGTAAACTGTACAGTGATAACCGGCAGTATGTCCGCAGAAAAATAGTTATTAAGCACATTTTAGACTGTGTTATAATAAATAAACTCTGATTGTGTTACAATTGTACATAAAACTTGGATCTCCTAGCTTTCAACAAACGATTTAATGAATATAGAAACAGAAAGTAAAGTATAATTACGCTGCCTTTATGCCACAGGATTCTGCTCTGATTATTGTAGTACACAGTATGTGATCATGAAAACATTATTTGGTGGATTATAAATTAATATTGGCTGTTCGGTGTACATGAAATTACTATTATGTTCACTAAACTGGAAATTGTAAAACATTGACCAGCAGGAACAAAATATTATGGAAATTATGGATATGAAAAAATAATAAATATGGATAGTAACTTCAAAAAACTATCCACCAAGCAAAATCAAAACCCACATTTGGACAAAGATTCCAACTAACAGATTAGCTGTCTTCTGCCAAAATAAATGTAGTAGATAGGTACTGGTTTCACTAGAATACTTACATTATACTTCTCCTCAAGATGCTGCATTGCTTGATCAAATTCTTGCATTCCATGATATCTTAGATAATCTGCATCTCCCTGGTTACAGAAAAAGAAGTTTGCAATTATACTCTCATATAACCATGATAAATTTAGTGGGGGAAAGACAATTTGGTACCCCAAAAAAGTAACTAGAACGTGCAATGGGTAGTTAGTTATGTTTATCTGGATTTGGACACAACTGAAACTTCCAGTTATGTTTATCTGATTTGGATACAACTGAAACTGGCAATCTGAAGAAAAGGTCCACACTATCATTGACTGTACAGGTTGGGTTCAGGCCTCCTCTTTGCTGGCATAGACCAGTTCTGCTAATTATTTACCAAACTTTAAAAGTTCTTTTTTTTAATTGGTATTGTCAGATACGCTTTCCAGCATTTAGACTTTAGAGTCAATTTCAATAATCTAGATTGTCACCCGATGACTAAGGAAGGTAATTTTCAGATAAGACCTACTCAACAGGCCAACCGACAGGAACAAAACACACCAAACAAATTAACAGCCAGACAACAAGCCTGCATATCTCATACTATCTTGTGCCAAAATCCATATGAACAAGAACACACATGGAACTAAATCTTCTATCAATTGATGACTTAGGCAACGTCTTGTATACCCAAGCCTATATATGATATATCAAAATCATTATGTTTATACAATCAATCAGACAATGCTTGTTCACATTTTTATCTCAAGAAATTTCATCAATTCTTGGGTTTGAGCATATATAAAGCCTATTATCTAAAAATTTTCAGATTTTATAAGGATGAAAGCATGTGTGAACATGTATGCTTTTGACCGCATTTCCTTATTGTTGAACTCTACACAAAAGCAGTGGATACTGAACAACGAGTTCAAGCAATTTGATGGACTATTTAGACAATAATTATCAGCAACTACTCCCTTTGCTTGCACCTTCAATCTTGCAGTGCATACTATATTGAGCACTTAAAGCATGAACTTATTGATATGCACTTGGAAACTTAACTAGATCAAACCGACGACGACATTTGTCGTAGCTATTATTATTCCCTGGTATCACTGATCCATTTGGTAATTGCTGGTCACCCCTGGGAAAATCTATCCACTCTGCAAAGACAAAGATGGAAGGGGGAAAGTTAGATTAAAGCCTTATATGACCATGATCTATTCTAATAGATATAGAGAATAAAAATACGCATTAATTTACTTGTTTTACCTGGATGTCCAAATTCATTTCCCATAAAATTGAGATAACCTTCTCCACCTAGTCCTATAGTTATCAATCTGATCATTTTGTGTAGAGCTATCCCACGATCAATCCGAGGAGTGGATGGTCTATCCAGAGCCATGAAATCATACATATCCTGTAGAATGTTAAAAAAAGGACATAAAGATGAAATATATTTCAGATCATTTTAGCTTATTATAAAAATAAATTTAAAAATAAAAGAAGATTGGCAAATATTTAAAGATTGGCAAATATTTCTGCAAAATGTTCATTTTTAAACATAGACATGAAAGAACTAATGTAAATCTTGTTTGCTAATTATGACCAAAAATTAGTAATGCATTGTCATCTATGAAGCACAGATACGGACACGGCGACACGGACACGACACGGATACGGACACGACAAAACCCAAAAACATAGGACACGGCGACACGACTAGATTTTTTTAATATTATTATTATATATAGATTAATATTAAATTAAATTAAGTACATTTTATTTCATCATCAGTGGCAGAGAAACATGTGTTATCATACAAGTAATAGTCCAACAGCGATAGCTCAGCTTGCTCTTTATGATATGAACAATAGGCGGAGTCGCTCTTACGAAATGTCTATTTTTCCCCTGCTTCCCGTGGGCTGTCGTCCTCTCTTTTCCCCAATTCTTTACACAAAAGTTACTCCCCACCTAAATACTCAACTTTTCAGTAATTTCAATGACCAAAATTTTTTTTCAGTAATTTAATCCCTCTGCTCAGAATAAATGCAGCTGACAAACTAAAGCGGTGAGTTTCTCGTGTGGTCCCTACTCCCACTCTCACCAGCCTGTCATCAGGCATCCAGATCTTGTCACGTGTCCACTTCATCTGTCCTCAAAGAGTAAGCCCACTTGTTCATAAAACACAAAGCTCCATTTAATCCCCACTTTCAAGTCCGCTCTCCCTCCGAAAAAAAAAGCCAAGGGAAGAAGTAAAAAAAAAAGAAAAAGCAAAATAAATCGAAAAAGAGAAGCAAAGATCTGAGAAGGCGCTCCTCCAAACCCTGGAGAACGCCGTCGGCGATCACAACATCACCATCTTCGCGCCTAAAAACGAAGCCCTAGAGCGAGACCTCGACCCAGAGTTCAAGCGCTTCCTCCTCGAGCCCCGCAACCTCACCTTCTCCAAACCCCTCTCTTCCACGTCATTTGGCAATCACCTCCGACTGCCATCTGGCGGATCCCATCCTCCGGCACCTACTCTGCCGGCAACGCAGCATCCATGTGTCCAACCGCAAGGTAGGCCTTGTCGCGTCTCGCACCGACCGACGTCGTCAGGCCCGACGCGTGATCCCACGACCGAGTCGTACTCCTGATCCCTAGTTATCCTTTTAGCGCGAGCGGATCTCGTGAGGAGAGAGACGAGGGTTTGTGGTGGCTGTCGGACCCCTGGTAAGTGAAAGAAATTAGGGTTTGAGGTTTAGGTTCGGCGTTTTTCTTTTTGTTCGCGAATCTCACGTGTCGGAACCGAGTCGGGGCGTGCAGGTGGCGTTGACCGCGTGTCCGAAGCATGTCGAACGCGTGTCGAACGCGTGTCCGCGTCCGACACGCGTTGGGCACGGACTCGGGGACAAGTTTGACGTGTCAGTGCTTCATAGATTGTCATGAAGAGATGACATGTAATTGTGTATTAGATATTATTAACAATTTGATATTAGTAGATTTAGTAGATATTATGAGATATTGTGAGATGTGATTAGATATGATATTATCTTGTACCTAATTTGTAATATCCTCCTAATCTCTATTTAAGAGATGCTAGGGTTAGATGAACAATGAACTTTGCCTTTGCTATTTCTCTATTCCTAGAGAGACCTCTTCTTCTTCCTCGACCTCCGGGTCGCCGAGGGGATTTGGATTGCTTCCATGCTTCCCATGGGCGGTTTCGACATCTTTAGCTCCAACTACTACTTCGGTATCACCAATTCCTAAATCCTCATAAAAAAACCCTCCAAAATAACAACCCTATCCAACCGCTGCCCCCCACCCCAAAAAAAAAAAGAACAATTCATCGGATTACTGTTCATCATCGTGTGAACAGTAGTCAAACCCCCGTTCATCCTGTGAATAATAGCGAAGTTGCTGTTCATACTGCCTGCCTGCTCATCTTCAGTCAACTTTGACAATTGCCACTGCTTCCTCTACGACTCTGCCTCCAGTTGAGTTCATCTTTCTCGTAAAAGGATGTTGAAATTAAGATTGAGCGACCAAGCAAGCAATTAATCAATCAAGGGTTTTCCCTTATCGTTTCTACTGGCTGACATGCCTAGGGTTTCTACTGGCTAACCCACCTAGGGTTTCTACTAGCTGACCTGTCTAAGGTTTCTACTAGCGTATGTTTTGTTCCCGCCTAAGGTGCTTCTACTAGCTGACCCGCCTAGGGTGCTTCTACCGGCGTATATTTTGTTCCAATTTGTAACAAGCTGGGCATATATAGAATATATGCTCTAACTTGAGCGGGTTTGTTAGATATTACTGATAATTTGGTAGTAGCTTTAGTAGATATTATGAGATATTATTGTGATATTGTGAAATGTGATTAGATATGATTTTATCTCATACCTATTTTGTAATATCCTCCTAATATGTATCTAAGAGAGTTAGGATTAGATGAATAATGAAGTTTGCATTTTCTATTTCTCTACAATGTACTGTGGACAAGTTAATGCATTATTATGGAACAATAGCTTAAAGAATATTTTGGTCAAGGTGGCATTGGATTAAGCTTATATAGTAAAACTTATTAAAAGCTAGTAACTCTTCTAAAAGTTATGAAGTAAGCATATAGTAAAGAGGGTAAATTTCATGATAATAAACAGGAACATTTTAAGGAATAAACAACCTTGTCCATCAGCCAGAATGCAATGGTCTTGTCACCAACAAGAGCTTGATCATGGCTTTCAGCATATGCAATACACTTCTCTGACCACCTTCTATTAGTAAGGGTGTGAACGATGTCACCCATCTTCCAGTGCTCGTCCTGTAACCTGTATAAAACAATTGAAAATACAACTAATGCTCAGGTGATCATCACCAATCGAGTAATCACAAGAACATAGGAACAAAATTATTAACGTTTTTTACTCTTTAATCAAATGCAGGTAAAAGTAGTTAAAGTTTTTCCATATTTTACTAAGTAATATATAAAGTAATATATAGCCAAAAAAAAGACCTTGGTCAAGTGGCGACTCTTTATGGTATCCAAAGCACATATCTTCAAGAGACTCTGGTTTAAAGCTCATGTTGACAATTTAAAAAATTAAAACCAAGATAAAAACTTCATCATCTCCATGGCACCCAATGGCCCACATGAAGGTTTGCTGGCATACATTGTCACCTCAGAACCCATAAACTAGTGCTTTAATTAAAATGTTTGTCTGACACAAATCAAGGGTCAATACGTTTTTGTATTCTTAACTGTTGGTAAGTTATTCACATGTTGATGTTGTTTTCCTAATGTTAACTTCAGTTGGCCTGAAATTTGTGTTGGGTAAGATAAGATGCAAATGAGATATGTGCATTTACTTGTCCAGATATATTTTGATAGGAAGTTCGTATGTAACCTTGAAGCTATTGGGATACATTCAGAATTATATGAATGCTGAACCTGGCAGGTTAATTAGATCCATGATGTTACTAGCAAATATGGAGGTGCTATGCTATTCATTCATTAGTTTCTTTTGCATGTTTGTTTGTTTTATGATTGCCTGAGATAAGTACATTTGGCATTTTTTGCAATTATTACTGAGACAGAGTTTTGCAATGCTTAAACTCCATAGCTGATGCTAATTTGATATACCGATGACTTAGGCATATACATTCTACCTAAACAGTTATTTGAATATGGTATATATCTTTTTAGATTGAAGGATTTAATACCAAAATTCTTGAGTAAAGCTTGTTGCTTAGCTCTGAGACTAACAAACAAAGAACAGTGAATTGAGGTTAGGACATACACGTGCTATACAAAATGTACATCAAGCGCTTCCAACCAACAACTGCCTCTAAAAGTTTCAAAAAGATCATCATATGACATATGCTATTGATGCCTCCATGTTAAATTATTTTACTACCAGAAAACACATGAAATTAGCTTTAACTTCGATTCAATAGTATCATCTGAAAGCCAAAGTTTATCTAGAATTTCAATAGTGAAATGCTTACTTGAGAATTTCAATCCACTTATCAGCAACTGCCATATGAAGGCGATAATTAAAACCAACCCCACCATCTTGAACAGGGATGCCGAATGTTGGCATCCCACTGACCTATATAAGTTACAACATAAGCTATTAGTAAAGTGATACATTGTCCACATTATATAAATGAATAGCACGTAAGCCAACTTCCATTGATGGTTCAAGTAATGCAATAAGAAATAAGCCATCTAAGAAATCCTTTAAAAAAAAACTAGAAAACACAGATGTGTGCTCAGATAATTCTCTAGTACTTATTCTGTGAGGACCGCCACAAGATAGAACTTTAAAAATAAACCATAATCTTTCTTAAGTCACCCATATCAATTACCAATCATGTCGAGCATTCTAAAATGGTCTGATACAACATCAAGCCAATAGAGTACAAGAACTTACATTTATAAGTATAGCTTAAAATCTTAGTAATCACTATGAAAAAGAAGTAAGATTTAAATTCACTGAACAATCTCCCTTGCTAAAGTGACTTCAATAAAAACAAGGAAATCATATCAACCATAAAAGAAAATTAGAAAATCAAAAATCAAAAAAGGGAGGAGGGAAAAAAAGAAAAAAGGTTGCAATCAAAGTAAGCGATATCAGAACTGTGATTTACTATTTAATATGCTATAAACATGTAACGCCCCGCCCCGGAATCCCGGAGTCGGTACGCTATTAGATCTGATAGACTGACCTCACAAACCACCACATGTCTTTTCAGCACGTTTTGTCCTCACTCACGCGCTCCCTGAAAAACTTCCCAGGGGTCACCCATCCTAGAATTTCTCCAGGCCAAGCACACTTAACTTTGGAGTTTCTAAGAGTTGGGTTCCCGAAAAGAAGATGCATCTTGGTGGTATGAGTATTCCAATCAAATCTATCAATACTAATCACATCACCCTCTCAAGGGTTAGTGTATTACAAACTCCCCTACTTAAACTCGCAACGTCCTCGTTGCGTCAAATCATATCATCCAAGACCGTACTATCCGTGTGAGATTCTAGAGGTGGCTCCTACGGCCTCAAGAGGTGGCTCCCGCCCTCTCGACGTAGCACTTTGCGCCGCATAGCACTTAGCTCTCACAATTCCGGTTGACTTGACTCTGATACCATTTGTAACGCCCCGTCCCGGAATCCTGGAGTCGGTACGCTATTAGATCTGATGGACTGGCCTCACAAACCACCACATGTCTTTTCAGCACGTTTTGTCCTCACTCACGCACCCCCTGGGAAGTTTTCCAGGGAGCGCGTGAGTGAGGACAAAACGTGCTGAAAAGACATGTGGTGGTTTGTGAGGCCAGTCCATCAGATCTAATAGCGTACCGACTCCAGGATTCCGGGACGGGGCGTTACAAAACACTTGTGGATAATTGTGGTTCAAATAATAACATGATTTAATTATGTCAAAATTCACTTGAGTCATGTTTTAACGCCTAAATCATTGAGAGTACAGTCTGAGTGTATTCTAAGGATTTAGGCATAAAAAAGAAAGAGTGGTCAACCAGTATCTAACCACAAACATGGCAGATATACCGCCTGAAAGCAGCACAAATTCAGTAGATTGAAGCACAGACAAAGGAGCTTTAAGGCCAAAGAATGACAAGAGAACTTTATTACAGTCGACCAAAGACATGATAGTGATATTATATTCTAGCACCAGGCACCTTTAGTCCGGGGCTCAAACCTCATCACTGACAATTCTTTCCTTTGAAACGATTCATGTTGAGAAAGAGAGCTTTCTGCTTGGGCCAAAGACCCGCCAGCGTGAGGGTGAGTGTAAATGTTAATGTTTCATATACATGATTAGACAAACCCAACAACTAAGTTTCTGGATAAAGTGTCTGATAAAGATCACCTTGTTATGATTTTCGTCATGTCTTAGAGAATATAAATAATGCTATATCATCAACAAATAGGAAGAGAATAGTTACTTACATCTTCACCAATGGTGACAGCCTCAGGGAAAAGCCCATGAATAAGATCATTCACCAGCATCAAATAAACCACTGCATCTACATCAGTAGCGAATCCAAAATACTCGTTGTAATTTCCTGTAAATACTGTCTGCGAAGAAATAAAGAACATCCGTCAAGGTCAATAAATCCAAATGACAGCATTAACAATTTATGCTCACTCCAGTAAAAAAATCAATTTAAACCTTCATGCTCTTAAAACTAATTTGCATACTATCGGCTTAATTTTGAAGTATGTAAGTGCAGATTAAAGTGATTACTGTGGGATTTCAGTACTAACTCTTAAGGAACAATCCAACGTTATTTAGTCTAGAAGAAAACAGACTCTAAGAGAACCCAACGTTTAGTAATAGCTGCTACTGTCACCTGCAACCCATGGTGAGTATACATCATTGAGGTCACACCATCGAATCTGAAACCGTCAAACTTGTACTCGTCCAACCACCATCTTGCATTAGAAAGTAGAAATCGTAGCACCTTTAGTAGAGAAAAAATTAATCAGCATCCTCCAAGAAACATTATGTAAAACAATGAAATACTTCATTATGTTTCAATTTTGTAATTTATTTTTTCATACTTCCCAACTTCCGTAGTTGAAAAGGCGTGAGTCCCACATCCAGTGGTAACCTCGTGACCCAGAATGGAAGTAATGAGTGTCTGTTCCATCAAATTGGTTCAATCCATCCAAGACATTGTTTGATGCGTGACTGCATAAACCAGAAGCAAATTACATATAAGAATAACATCAAATTTCTTCAAGAGATGCTCCATAAAAAAGCGTAAGAAGAAGAAAGAGATGAAAAGAAATGGAAAAAAGTACGCAATAGAAAACAGTTATAATCTTAACAGTTATTAGAATACATTAGTTATACTCTTAACAGTTATTAGAATACATTACCCTTAATAGCTATAACTGAATCGTGTGATGTATGTAACAAGAAGGACATTAAAAAGATAGATTGAGCAAAACAATGAGTTGGATAATGGAGAGGGATTCAAATAATTGAGATGAAAGCTTTACTTTTGCTATTCTTTTCCTTAGAGGTGATGACACAAATTGTGTTCATGCAGACATGATGATACAATATACATTTAAAAGCTACCCCGATCAGTAATATTTAGAAGCTAGCCTCCTCTACTGTATCCACTTAGGTGATGGCACAATGTCAATTGGGCATTCAGAACAAAAGAAGATATCCATCTTGTCTATTTATTTCCACCCTAAGGCACTTGCAATGTGCCAAATCTCTTACTAGAAAAAATAATGTGGCTACAAATTTAAGAATGAATATTTATCTTCAATATATCATTCAATAAAAAATGATTCCCTTGTTTAGTATTTGCCTCACACAAAACAACATATTCCTCACAACTGCAAATTAAATGCAATCGGACTTCCTATGAATGAATCAGTTCCAAAACTTAAAGGAGAGTTCAGAAGTCACCTATGAACAATATCCATGAGAACAAGCAGACCAAGCTCATGAGCTTTATCAATCAGAGATTTGAGCTCATCTGGAGTTCCAAAGCGGCTACTAGGTGCAAAGAAGTTGGTAACATGGTACCTGTAATTAAAGTTTTCAGACAAAGTTAAGATCAAAGATAAAACATCAATGGACCTAGAATAATATAAGTGTTGTACCTATAAGACCATAGCACGAAATGCAAGACAAATGGATCCCATAGGAACACAAAATTATGCATTCACAAATTTATGCTACTTAATTGATGCCACGAAAGACTCAATAGACCTCTGCAGCAAGCTTTTACTGACCTTTATTTTTATAGAGTCAAGATTCATACTCATACTTGTTTGAGTATAAAATTATAACCCTTCAGGGCCTTCACCCTCACCACAACTTTGGAGTTTCAGTTTACAGGCAGGTAGCTCGATATAGTGTAAGTGACTCGGGTTCAAATCTTATTTGCCATGAATTTCTAAAGCAGATTAATATTACACAGCCCAGTGTGTCCAGGTTTCGGCCCATTAAAGGGAGCTCAACCTGTGGGGATCTGTTAGAGTATAAAATTATAATAACTCTCAAGCCTCACAACAACTTCGGAGTTGGGATGTAGTGACAAAGACCTTTGACAATACTAAATGGACTTACCAAATTAACAACGCTGAAGACAGACAATTCCAAAAAGTCAATTAAATAATGAACCTTAAATTAAAGGTGCCCCAAACAAAACAAAGGCACATCTTAAAAATGATGCTTATGTAATATGGATGTATGTAAAAAGAAAAAAGAGAAAGAAGGGGGTTTTCACCAAGAAGAGGATGTGAAAGGTTTTACTATAACCATGAAAAATTAATTTATTATTTGCTTCTATTTGAAGCTACTAATGATCAGGCCTGGCAAAAGGAACAAAACCTCCCCCCAGCCACCCACGTGCACCTCATGACATCTAGAATTTGGAATTTCACAACATAACGGTTGCTCTAACCAGCATCATTTGGTAATAATCAACTTGAAGACATAATAGGTTGATACTAATAAATGAAACACTAGAACCAAAGCCACGGAATGCAATCGAGCAAATTCGAACCTGCTCCTTAAACAACAAAAATTGCAAAGCATGAGAATGCACATAAGAACCTTAGGCGTACAGTAGTTAACAGAAATTGCAGGCGAACTGGAGGGAATCTTTAAGCGGTACACAGGAAGTCTATACTTGGTACATGCCAACTGACCATATTATAAGCTAGTCACAGTCACATCAGCTAGCATGTATTGCAATTGGCAAATAGTCAGGTAAATATAGGAGGCTGTAATTTCTGACTATTCTCAGTGTTTAAATGAAAGTTACTAGCTCTTTTGTCAGAAAACCACTACAAGAAGTGTCAGAGAGAATACCCAAAGCTTGCATAATATGAATGTTCCTGAATGGCCATTATCTGAACAGCATTGTATCCAAGTCTTTTAATTCGAGGTAGCATGTCATCTCTGAAGCTAGTATACATGTTAATCTTGGGTTCCTACAAATCACAATCATGGTAAATACAACATGAACATCAGCTTATAATAAAACCACAAAAAACATGATTAATTTCTTTTTTCGAAGGATGTGATCAAAATGGAAGGTAACAAGGACAGATGCAACAGCAAATACAACCTAAGGAAATACAGATTTTTACGATGATATATACATGTGTGTCGCATGCTGAATAAGTACCAGAATAATATGTCTCCATAACTTTTACATTCAAACTTTGCGGTAAAAACAATGACCATTGCTTCCATATAATTTAAGTTATACAATATTTAGCCTTCCCAGGCAATCAGTTATAAAATATGAACCGAGGTCAGAAAGCTTGGCATGTTTCAGGTGAAGTACACCTTTCTTTTTTGAGATAAACGACAAATAATACATCAAAGAGGAAAATATGATGAATCAAATTCCACTGGAGATGGGTAAAGGCACAGCAAGCATACCGTGCTACTCATTCCGACATGTGACTCATAAATTCGCAGTGATTTGGGAGCCTTTGGTTGGGTATGCTGGAATACATAACATTCCTGTAGCATAATACAACTCTCAATAGGAAATACATAAATTAAGAGGAAACAACCAATTCTGGAACATTTTATCGAGTCTAGAAGGATGTAGTCCATACCTCTTCAGGAGGATCATAATATATTCCATTGTATGGTATTTCACCTGGGGCCTGAACAGAAAACTTTATCCAGGCAGGAATGGAGTCTTTAATGCCAGATGGAGTATCCATGCGAATCTAACATGTAGTTATAAGAGCATAAAGTTAGCAGTGAGAATATTGGTCTTTGCATAAGAGATTCATCTAGTATTAAATTAAATATAAAGTTTATTCCTGGTGCTTCACCCCATCTATTTTCACATATCAAAACGATGATGAAGCCACATGATACATATATGTGTGTGGTCCGCCAGTATTCACATTCTACTAATTTCTAAGATCAGTGATGGTTTTTCTATTGATTGTACTCGAACATGAACACTTTCAACCTGTAACAGCCAATACCTGATGAGTTCCTAACTTATAGGCTGCCCAACTGAAATTATGTAAGAATTATAACTCATAGCATGCAAAACTCAATTAACATGCAAAAACAATTAGTTGATCATAGCTAACAATCTAAATCTTCATGTTAAAACTGCTAAACAGAACTATACACATTGGAATGAGAAATACAATAAATTGCAAGCTCTTAGGGATTTTACAAGTTGGAGGGAAAGAACAACATATCATTTTTTACTGGTAGATGGTAAGATTACATTGAACATAGATAATCTCAATGTGGTATCTGTTTTTACAGGATACGATATTATATGAGTAAGTTTAGCGAATTATGTCATATATGGAAAGCATGCAGATTGCAACAAAACAAGAAGAAGTATTGCAATTCCTTTGTTATAGTTATTGGGCAACCAGGACTGCAGACCTACAGAAATTCAATCTATAAAAGCCTGTGATTATTGAACATCTGTGAAATTGAATACCTTTACACGTGAGCCATGAGGAATAGGAGATGAGCCATCAGCATTATTTGGCAAAAATATCTCCCAAACACCAAATTCATTCTGTAGTCAGTTAATTATGAAATGTCAGCATAAAATATTACGTTCTGACAGAAATATAATTAAGAAAATAATGGTTTATAGTACATGAGAAAAGAAAATCTTGGTTAGAAACATCAAAGTTATTCCTCATACATCAAAATTGAACTTCTCTGGAAAGGGGGAAAACATTTCAGGAACCAGTGAAAATTATTAGCCTTCAAGTGTATTTGTCAAGTGTCATATAATCGGATAAGCCCACATGCAATTCATCATGCTGCTGCCAGCACAACCTTTGAGTTGTTTATACATGCAATGTTTAAGGCCTCTCTTATGAGGCATAAGCTAGTAAACAAAATTATGAATCAGTTACTAAACATATTTAGGATACTATTCCTGTTACAGGAAAAGATTAAAGTTTAAAACATTAAAGAAATGCCTAAAGGCAATGGTAAAATTATTCTTCCAAGGTTAATAACATCAAGCTGCAAACACATACCTTGGTCATGACATCTGCATTGGGATTCCAGTTGTTGAAATCTCCTATTAATGACGCCGACTAAAACCAGAAACCAAAGGTATGTAATTAGAAGAAAATAGATAAGTCATAGAGGTTCAACAACAGAAAACCAAACATAAGGATAGTGATGTATATTGTAGCACATGGAAAAACAAATATTAGCAAGATAAACAATGAAAGTAAAATTTGAACGTTAGTTGTCCCAACTAAATCGCATTAGGTCAGAACTCACTGTGACACTCTTTGTATGCCTCCTATATTTGTAAATATAAATTGATCTCAACTTGAACTTTACTAACAGTATGGTCAAAGGTATCGACAAAGGTATTATACATTTGCCTACATTGAAATACAAAGTGAAAACAAATAAAAAAGTGAAGCACTTTTTTTTCATTGGAAGTGCATCGTGAAAATGAGATCAACAAGATTTATTACAGAAGTACTAAAAACATTCAAAGAAAGTACCAGGTGACCAGATATTAATAGAAAAAAGGATGATTCTATTTGTCCACAGAACAAAAGCACGGTCAAGAGTGATATCACTATGCTAATAATCACGACATCTGGTTCAGGATAGTGTACCCATTGGGTGGTAGAAAAGTAAAAGGAAGGTGGCCATAAACAATAAGCAACAATGAAAATGGGAAGCAAAGAACAACAAACCTTAGCTCCAGGAGCCCATTCGCGATAAGTAATACCAGTGGCACTGAAAAACAAGTGAGAATTGAGAGATCAATTATTATAAGCGCTTTTACATGTTATCATAATTTAGTACTGACACTCAGGATGCAGAGGAATGCTTCGAGATGGAAAGCTAAAGGAAGTAATAAAGATTCATATGTGAAATGGAGAATTGCAAATCTATGAATTAAGCCACCAAAGTTTTGGTAGGTTGGGTGATCCCCACGAAACAAGCATCCATTTCTAATTAAAAGAAGGCTATTCCTAGATTGGTCCCTTAAATGATGCATAATTAGAAAGAACTCCCAAAAGGTATGATCTGTGATTAAGCCCCAGAATTATAACAAAGTGCTTGCAGTTGATTCCTCTAGTAACATTTTCCATCATATGTTTGCCATATGTCCACCTTCCCAGCCTCTCCTTTCTAATAGCTATATATATTTGAACTGGTCAATAATCACTAAAGCAAAAAATCATGAAAGAGACACGAGAGGAAGGGTAGAGGTACAACAGACAGAAAAACTAAATAATAGGCATAAAATATCTATGATAGTTCGCAACATACATGGAAAACATGCTTTTACGTTGATTTTGGAAAAGGTGACAGGCTATTCAATATAATGTTTATAATATTCGTTGATTTTCATTATGGGAATTGCAAATTGACAGCTGCAGATGGTATAAGGTACAAAGAAGCAAAATCTTGGGGACTAACTGCTGGAAATTTTGATACAGGCCAAAGATGGTTATATCACATGCCGTGCCCATATTTTCAACAGTGACATATGGGATGTCCATATTTGTTAGAGAATACAAAAAGAAAAGCAAATCAAGGTCGAAATATTTAAATGTGCACGAGTCCTAATTTCATGAGAAGAATCCAATCATTACATAATGCAAAAAAAAAGGGATACTCGGAGCAGTTTCAAAAAGTTCAGAAATAACAGCAAAGCATAGCTCCATATGAAAGAAAATTCATGTATACTTTGTATATCTGAGAAAAAAAATAAAAGATATTACCTGCGGATGAAGCCGAATTTCTCATAACCACGGGAAAAAGCATCCAGACCGCCTTCATACTTATCAATCAAATCTCTCATATTCTTGTACTGGCTATATCTGAAATATGAACCATACTAAAGTAAAACTTCAACTAGTTCCCCATTGCACTGCTGTAGAGCAGAATCCAAGTTCGATAAACCTCCTTAAAGGAATTAACCAAATTTTTACCATCAATGTGAAGGCAGCTATGTATCTTGACTCAAATACTAGCCAACACAGCTATGCATAGAAAGAATCTAAACAGGGAATGCTAGTTGCCAGTTAGGTACTTCCTTCTTTCGTCATGCAGTATAAACTAATGTCCCCAAGAAGCAATATTCAAATTTCCCTAAATTAGGACTCTAGATAGAACTAAGTTAACAAAATTTGGGAATTATATGTATCTGTTAGAGATATAATAAGCCAGAGGGCAAAAGGAATCATATTTCCAAAGAAAATCATATATTCAACTGAATTATGTTACACAGTCAAGTGAACAAAAGTATTGCCGGTGAGTCTGCCATGTAAATTCTAAGCCGGATGAAGATAACATGTATTCAACTTGCTAACACATGCATGTCAACAACAGTTTAAGCAACCGGTAGAATCTCAAAATGCCATTTGTAACATGCACAAGGGAGAGAATTTCTCATTTTGGCAAAGAGTGATGCATACAAGAGACTGCCAAACCTTATATATAGCAATACATTGAGAATGACTATCTTATTTGCATAATTTGATGTGTAGAATTACGACAGGTTATAGGGATAAAACTTTTTTTTTCATTGAATAGTAAATTTTAGAACTAAACTACATGAAAATTTTGTAAACTTGGCACCTCAAGAAAGAAAAGTAAACAGTTAAATTAATCTTTGAAGAACTCTTGCAGATCAGGACCTTATGTGAGTGGCACATTACACAATTGTCTATATTCCATATAATACTTCAACTTAAGTTTATAGTATAATAAAGGGAAAATGTCTTTGAAATATAAGTAGTCATAAAGATGTCCTACCGGTAATCAAGATGTGCACGGTGGTCTTTCAAAAATGGATCAATTTCATATATTCTCTGTCCAGAACCAGGTGGAGGAATAAATCTCTGTTTTTTCTCAACCATTTCACCAGCGTTCTTCACTTTATCAGGGTGTTTATCACCTTCTTTTACGCCCCCACTACTCATTAACTTGGAAGATATGGATGACTCTGCATAATCAGCTTTAGCCTTGTCCCCAGCTGGTAGATCACCTGCTTCTTTTAATACCTATGAGATATCCACAAAGAACTTATGTAATTTGCCAAAAACTAAACAGATTTTAACATTAAATTTTAGGGTTGATAAATAGCTCAGGAGTACATTCAGTCCGCATGGAGGCATAAACTAGTCGACTACCAAAGAATCAGAGGAATAAGGGAGGTGAGCTCTAGGACATAATGCTTGTTTGTCTCCTCCATTTCCACTCTAAAATCAAGGAAAACCTACTACTGCGATGATACAGATTGATACCAACCCTTGCAGTTTTCAGGTCAGTGAGCTGAGCTAAATCATAATGCACATAAAATGGAAAATTCTTGCATTTGTTTTGTTTCACCTGTTGATCGCTGGAAGTGGGTTCCTGGTCCCCGACTGATTCCGCAGCGGATGAAGAGTCGTCGAGCGGAACACCTGGAACAAGCACTTTTCCGGTTGCGGCAACAACTGAGGGTGCAGAATCAGTTTCATAAGAAGAATTACCAGCAAATATCTTCCCTGAAGAAACACCAAATTAAAAGAAGCTACGAAACAAGAAAACAAAATCAGCCAGTTGTTTCCTACTAAGATAACAATATACCAGGTAACGACAACAAGGCCAAATATTAAAATCTAGTGAGAATCAGGATCTCATCGCTAAAAGCTAATGCTAATTACATTCTAATCCAGTCACCAACACTTGTAAAATATTTTAAAATTGACGGAAACAGCGCACACCGAACGCATATTTAAAAGGTTAATTTTTAAAAAGGGAAGGGAAAAAAAAAACAAACGGGACTGAAATAAAAAGTAGTTCAGAAACGAAAATAGTCAGCAGATCACGCAATGGGTGTCAACAAACAAGCTCAATGAAGCTTACTCGAGAGTGATTCATTCCTCAGCATGAAAGAGAGATTCGCACTGTTCCTGCGATCGCCACTAGAACCAAATCGAAGAGGCTTGACCGCGGAGAACTTAATCCCTGCGATCGCATACGACATTTTCAGAGAATTTTAGGGTTTGAAGAGAAGGAGAAAAAAAAAGATCTGGGAGTTCTCTTTTTTAAAATGTTTTTTGAAGGGGTTTTTAGAAGTTGGGGGGAGGAATGAACGAAGATCCCAAAGGAGCGAGTTAGCGCGCAGTTCACAGGGCGTCACGTGTGCGGTTCAGGGATGCATGGAGATAGGGCTCGTGGGACCCACCGGGCCCAGTTCTAGGTGTCAGGTTTCTAGAGAGTGGGGTGGAGTGAAACGGAGAGAACGCCTTTCTGCTGTCCCTCCCCTCCCGTCTTTTAGCTCGCTGTTTTTTAGCGAGTTAGTTTTACAAAAATCACCGCGCCTTTGAAAATTATATCACGGAATATCCATTTCAGATTCCAAATATATTCAATGACATCGCGTAACTGTTTAGATTATTTAGTTATTATTTCGATCCGGATAAATTTGTTTGGATTGTTTCGTTACCAAATGGGATTGCGCGCAAAGCAAAGATGGTCGAAGAACATCTCCGATTGATGGATGCTGAGCCCAGCTGCTCGCTTCATATTTAGACACAAAATATTATTGCAAAATAGAGTTGTATTATGGCTCCACAATAAAGTGATAGCATTAGCTACATTTTTGCCGACAAGCGCATGTATTACGGGCCCCGCCGTTGTTTAGCATACAAGTGAAAGATAAAAGTAAAAATTTATTTTGTTTTTAACATTCTAGGCATTTGTTTGTATGTAAGTAGTTAGTTACTAAAGTAAAATGTAAAAAAATTACCGCATAAAATTTAATACAATTATAACTTCCTCTAAAAAAATAGTGAAGCCATGTGAAAGTGAAAAATGATAACAAAATTTAATTAAATAATTTTAACTACATTTACAAATCAATCCTATTTTATTGCATCAACTTCACATTACACTTTCAACAATAAGTTCGCTTTTGTAAAAAATATTGTATTTCACTTGCATGCTGATACGAAAATCATTTACAAAATAATAATAATAATAATAATAATAACAACTTATACATTTTCAGTTCACTTTTAAATTGTCAAAAATCCCACACAGCTCCCACCACAGCTTTTAAATTGTCAAAAATCATCAGAAAAGTTATTAAAAAATAAGCGTCGACCACAAAATCTTATGCATCACGTGCTGTCATGACATTCTGAACACAAAACCACCTGGCCCCATCACTCACCAGTCTATTTTTTGCTTTTGTAATGATAAAGAAGTAGCATCTACAATTACATTCAATCTAGTACAATAATTTTACAAAGCTTGAATGCTACAAAGTTTGGATGCTGCTAAATACTACCCACCATTTGCTTCCACACTATATTCTTTCCTTGACTATTATTGTGCGCAGCTCCGCGGAGGTCCACTCCATGACTATGGTCTCTTTGTGCACTGGCTTGAAGGCCTCTGCTGACTGGAGCTCAAGCCCACACTTGTGCGACATACAGCGACTTATTCTTATGTTTCGCATGTAGAGTCGCTCAGTAAGCTGCAACGAATAATAACTTATGTTCAAAATTCTAGAGAGGGTATAAGGGAAATCTGTGTTGAGTTTGCTGCAGTGACTTACGTTGGGGCCATCAAACCCGCCATCACAAGCATCACACAGATCCAGGGCTAGCTTACGGAGCAAAGGTAACTGCAAATGCAGTGTTTATAAATTGCAGGATAATCCTTTATTTTGCTTAATTGTGCACAGGAAAGATATAGCACAAAGGCAATCAGATACCTTCGATGCAGCATCATATATGACATTCCTTCCAATACCTCGTCCCTGAAAATTTTATTCAATGAGCATGAGAAACAGAAACCACCAATCTCTATCTGGCCAATGCAAAACTCATGCTGTCCTATTGCAAGAAAACCATCAAGTCCAGCTTTTTTCATAAATGGCCTTTCTTTTAATAGCAAGCTAAGTTTGAAGTTTTATCATATTGAGTCTTGCCAGAGAGAGGCACATCAAGTTTCATGTGACACCAATCACAGATGAGAACTAGAACCACTTAACTACTTACATTATGGCGTAATAAAAGATCTTCTACAGCTTTGCAGTTGAAAAGAGAAGAAACTCCATGTGCAGTCACCTTCCCACAGCTCTGAAATTAAAAGGAAAAAAAACGATATGATACTATTCATGCTTTCTTGGATCATCAAGAGAGAATATAAGCCATCAAACAAAATCTGAGCTAATAGACGTAGTAAGTAGTAGGAGTTAGGTTCTGTTGCAAGCATTGTCTCACTCGGATAGACCTTCAGCACCAACCCCACCATCAAAATCACCATCCAGCCCTTCTCATCAAGATTTGACCAGAACATTAAGCTCTCTTGGTGCAAATAACTGGTAAGGAGACTATGGATAACAAAAAGACTCAAACATAATCCCAATAGACCAATTGGCATTCCTCAATTTCTCCGAGATTGGGTAGATATAGAAGAAGGGTATAGATAGGAGATTTTCTGTAGAGAATTACATTTTAACTCAGAGAGACAAACAAAGCTGAATGCCAACAAAATATAGTCCGGAAAGCACCCCAGAGGCCACTTAAATATGGCAACTGACTCTCAAGTACACATCACGCCATCATAGTCTAATTTTATCATTGGAACAAATATAAAAGCACTAATACTTCTCAATAATTATCGGTTACGAGAATAATAAAACTCACACTTTTCGAGCTAACATCAGTTACTAGGCCAACGAGAAAAATTAAGATCTTCTTGCACTTGCAACCAACAGCTAATTGTGGCTAGATTATTTTTATTTTTCCTTTCTTCTTTCCTATGAGTTAAGCATAAGTAATAAGAAGTAAAAGCATGAGATCTGCATGATACTAACTGAAGTAAGATTTATTTATCCTTTCTGATCCTGATAGCTAAAACATTTGTTACACAAATATTAGGCCAGATTGTTAGCATTTCTGACAATTGATGAGAATTTCTATAATTTCTCTTGACAACAACTTACATTGAAAGAATTCAATTAGCTAATCTAAATGGCAGTAGAAGATGTGACAGTTTTCATGTTAATTGTGTACTAATAATGACTCTTTACATGGAATTTACATAGTTAACTTATGGTGCATAACACGAAACAGGAAAACCTTTAACTAGTCTACAAACCTCGAAGTGGATTAACGTCAATCCTGGCCAACCAGATGAAATGATTTCTTGAGTACCTACAAAGTGCAAGAGCAGCATCCTATGCTTAATACGTATTACATTAGTGAAAACATGAATCCAATGAGTATTAGACAGCCAAAAACTGTAGTAAAAAAAAAAGATTATGAGTTTCTTACTTGAATCAAGAAGTTTACACCCTGACAATGAAAGCTCAACTAAACTCGGGCAGTTTTCAGTCAAAACTACCAAGTCGGTATTTGTCATCCATGGAGTTACCCACTCTAGTTTTAATGTTTTTATATTGACATTGCTTATCCGCAAGCTAAATGAAGTCAAGTCACCAAGGCAGCAACACAACCAGAGCATTTGCAGTTGTTTCAAAGATTGCAGAATTTTTCTTACAACATTGTCAGAAATTACCTGTTAAATACAATAAGTTGCTAAAAAATGATACAACAAGATATATCTAACGATGTATGGGTTTTGTGGAATAACCTGAAAATTAAGAATTACTGATTCCAACTGAGGACAAACTTCTGGTATTACAGAGAGCGTCTGGTTGTCTAGTGATGCACCAAGGCCTAATGTAATGGCTCTTAGTTTGCTAATGGAAGGTTTTAGCATTTCTAGTTGAAAAGAAGAAAATCCCCAGCCCAATGCAACTTCTTCAAGGATGCATGTCTTGCCTAATTCACGGAAGAGATCTTCACTGGTAGAACTACTAATATCTGGCATGCTCTTGTCTTTGAATTGATACAAGTTCCTACAGCATGTTGCTTTCAAACACCTCATACGTGGGTTCATTTTAATAATATGAGTCAGAGCTTGTGAGGAAACCTGTATAATCACAAACGGTTAGTGGCTTGAAATTTTTTGTTTTAACATCACAAAGATCAATAATGTTAGACAATTGATCAGCAACTGTGATATCGTGCATGGATGGTGGATAATCAGGTCTGTTGTATGGACGTTCCACAATGTAAAGAAATAAATATGAATGTGCAGTTCTTAAAGGCAAAAAACAAGGTCAATAAAGGGCTATGAAGAAACAAACTGTAGGTTGAGCAGTTCAAAAAAAAAGGCGTAGGAATGTATAAAAGAAACATACCATGGTTTCAGAAACATCAAGGCTCTCCAAAGAAGAACCCATAAACTCATAAAGAGCATCATCAATGAGACAAGTGTCCTTTAAACTGAGAATCTTCAACATGTATGTGTGGCTCATAAGCTGTGCCATTGAAGTTTGGTCAACACCTGAGCTAGACAAATGGAAGAATAGATATATAAGTCCACTCGGGCAGCTGAAGACCCATGCCTGACCAAAGTTAACCAGAATTAAAACAAACAAGTCCTTTTAAATAGGTAGGTTAATAATGGAGTCAACCATCATCTAAAATTTTTCTTATAAAAAGATGAAGCGGGCTACATCAAAGGCTTGATGAAAATTATGCCCAGATGTGTTCCTGGGATCCACCTTCAAATTGGTTCATAACTCTTGACTAGAAATTATGTAGAAAACAGGATTTGGTTCATAAATCCTGAAATGCCAATTGGCACATAGGAAAACCTAACTTATTTGGTCATGCAGCTAAAACCTGAACAACCACGGACTACTAACTATAGGATTAAATAATAAATTCTACCTTAAATGACACTGCTTATCCTGTTAGGAACTCTGAAGACCATGTTGTGTCAGAATGTAGAACAATTTGTAACAGAATTTGCAGCGATCTCAAGTCGAGGTACACTTACCTTTACAGCTATCTAGATGCAGTTGTTGGAGCCCAAACGCCATCATGTCTGAATGCTTGTGACAGTGATAAACACCATGAGAGCCATCTGAAGAAGTATTACTTGAACAAAGTGTGAGAATCGATATTCTGCCAAATGATGTGTATGACAAAACCAATGAATGAACCTTGCGGCATTTGCATATAAGGTTGGATATGCCCATGTCAGTCACCATAGTGCATCCTTTAATGTTGAGATAATCTAAGGAATCAGAGAGAATTGAAATACACAGCAGGTCGGAATCTGAGAATAGGCAAACAAAAAATAAGTTTCTAAAAAGTTATATGACAGGAGAAGAAAGAAAAAAGGAAATCAAAAGAAGGTTAGATAACAAATACATGCCAAACTAAGAAAATTGAACAATGAAATGATGATCCACAGAAGAAAATAAAACATTTTCTTTTTGGAGATGGATGTGAAGCAGTTAGCAGAGATGGTCTGAAGAAATGGAGATAAGACCACTGCTGGAATAGTATCTCACCAGTGATATCATTTCTACCTTCCAACGTCAGCTTCGAGATGTTTGCCACAACTGGCTTCCCCAGTGAGTACTTTCCAATATTTGATAGAGGTATTACCTTTTCTGAATTTTTACGTGGTTTGCCATCAAAAAATTGAGATCCTTCAACAGTAGCTGATAAAACTGATATTGTGGGTGTGACAGGACTAACATCAACAGTCAAATCGACTTCATTCATAAGAAGACATTTCCTAATCAAATAAAAGAGATCTTCCATTGTGAAATGCAGACAATGAGATGCCTTCAAAATTTTTAACGAGGGGAAAGCCATGTGTAACCATGCAATGGCAGCACCAAAATTCATCTTGAGACACATGGAAATATTCACCTCATTTACATGTCCAAAACAAAGAATGTTAGGTGACTTCTCCAAGATTCTGTAATAATCTCCTCTATGACCGTCAAGCTCAACCAATGCACGAATAATTCTTGCCTTCTGCATAACATCCAAACCATGAGGTAGTACCGCCAGAAACAGAAAGGGCGCTGTCAGATGGGTGCAACCAGAAAGTACTATCTTCTGAAAATAAAGGGAATACATTAAGGAGTTAAATGCACAATTAAATGTATAAAACCAACCAATACTACTGACATGGCTAATAACAACTACTACATATTGGTATTGGCTAATAACAGCCAAAATATGAAGACATCTGAGGTCTTGAAATACCAAAAAGTTATGGGTTAATTGTGAATAGATCCCCTGTACTATCGCCAAATTTTGGATAGACCCCCCTAGTTCTATTTGTGTGGATAGACCCCACTTGTACTATTTGCCCAAGTGCAAATAGCCCCCAAAGTAAATTTTTTCGACTCTTTAAAAGAGTCAAAAGAAAAAAGGCAATTGGGGGTCTATCCTCACCACAAGACCACAGGGAGTACATCCTCACCACAAGACTCTTTAAAAAAGTCAAAAAAAATTAAGCAACTGGGAGTGGGGGGTCTATCCTCACCACAAGACCACAGGGAGTATATCCGCCTCCTCGAAACTTTTTTGACTCTTTTAAGAGTAAAAAAATTCACTCATGGATCTATCCAGAAAAAATAGAACTACAAGGGGTCTATCCGCAATTGGTAGATAGCACAGGGGTCTACCTGCAATTAACCCGACAACGACTTATAGTGTTATATTGTGAAGGGAAGAAATAATAAAATAATGAAATAATAAAAATCAGTGTAAAAAACTTGTGAATCACCAAAACTGACGACATCTTGATTACTACATCCAATTTGCTAGCCTGAAACCACTAATGTGCAAGACTTCAAAATCAATACCAATAATCATCATGTAGTACCGATACCACGGTTTCAAATATTGCATTTCTATTTCCCTTCTGATAACGGCAAAACCATTTCCACATTAATTGTCATAATACAAGGTTCATTAGTTTATAATCTTTCTTGAAACTGAAACATAGAGAGAAGAAACAATAAAGAGCAGAAAATGTTGACTGCATCTCCCAAATTAATGTCGAATAGAACAAGAAGTTCACCTCGGAATATTGGGTCAGTCGAATTCTGTATTTTTCAGTGTCGCCACGGGTTACTGCGTGCATCAAGCTGTAGGAAGAGTCCTTTAATAGATTAAGTATAGAGCAAATAACCTCATCCGCAAACTGCAAGAGGCGTCTCCTTAACCCTGCAAATACGTACTTTTAATTTGACAAACTGCAGGTTGAAAAGTGAGGACATGAAACACTGCAGAAAATCAATTCCAAGTCAATCAACATACCTGCAGCATATTCCAAAGGCAAAAGAGAAACTTTTACCTGGAGATAACCATAACAGATGATTCACCAAAAAAAGAAATTTATGATAGAAACACAGCATAAAGTTACCACATCTCCAAACAAAGAAATTTATGATAGAAACACAGCATAAAGTTGCCACATCTCCTAGTGGCACTTCAAGATCCAACTTAGTTTATAAACCAATCATTATCAAGTCATTTTGATTCAGGAAAAACACCGCATAAAGTTACCACATCTCCTAGTGGCACTTCGAGATGCAACTTAGTTTATAAACCAATCATTATCAACTACCGAGTCAATCTGACTCGGGGAAAAAACACACAGAGCAACTGAAAACTGCAAGAAAAGGATGATCCTCTAATGCTTGGACCAGTAATAAAAGGAGGACTGCATAAATCATACAAATATCATTATTTATGATAGAGAAAGATATTTTACTAAACAACAATAAAGAAATTTTGTGGTTGACCTTCTTAAGAATATCGAATTTGTCACTGCTGGAGTTGCTAGGTAAGCCATCCAAAGATTTATTGTTATACCTTCTTAAGAATATCGAATTTGTCACTGCTGGAGTTGCTAGGTAAGCCATCCAAAGATTTATTGTTATTAGCAAGCCAAGTTTCAAGCGCTTCACATGCTGGAGTTGCTAGGTAAGCCATCCAAAGATTTATTGTTATTAGCAAGCCAAGTTTCAAGCGCTTCACAGAGTTGTTTCTCACTGGCCATTATTTCAAACCACATCAGGAGCTTGTGATAAAAAAAATCATCAGACTGTAAGAGTAAAGAACCAACCATTCCACGGTTAACCAAGGGTGCTCTAAGCAGGAAAGCAATAAATCATACGGAATGTCACCAAAAGAACTACATGATGACGCCCATGCCTGCACAAGATATATTCGATATAAAATATTCCTCAATGAAGTTACAAATAATAACTAGATGCTAACTTGATTCTCACATACTATGCTGGAACAGAAAATCTCCATGTAGAAGAGGATACATGCATACCAGAACATACTAACAATAATACATCAGGTAATCATGTAAATCACACAGTAAAGTTAAAATCATAAAAATCAAATTGCAAACAAAGTGAAAGATTAATAGGATCTTATTTCATTTTAGAAAGGTAGCTAAATCCACTGCCAACGATCATGTCCATCGTAAATTCTCAGATTCTAACAGCCCTTGCACCTTGTTTGGATAATAAGTATTGATAATTGGTTTTCTTCCAGAAAGTTTATTAACTACTTGAGCATAAAAATTATTAAAAACGACAGCGCAAAGAAAGTAAATTGAAAAAAATAATCCGGTAATTGTTTCCTTCAGGGGAGTCAAGTTTAGCAAGAGGATAATGTTTCTGTACCTACAAAGTGTTGGGATAGATAGCTTTCACATAGTTCTTGAACAAACTTGATTCCTGAAAACACATTTAGCACAAAATCATCATGATAGCAATAACAATGAAGTCATAGATTAGAGATTCAGAATAGCATCTTCAGGTGGTCTATAATACACTGTAAGATGAAGTGAAAGAACCCCACTCACCATGTTCCCTGCCAAACTTCCAAATCTCAAGTACCATTTCCAGAGGCATCTGTTGAATATGAAGATCTTTTACTGAAGTAATATGACGGAACCAAGTCTCACACTCCAAATAGAGATTATCCACTCCAAAGTACAATGCAGCCTGAGAATACTTCTAGTATTTGAAATTATTGACAAATAGACAGGAAATGTTGCTCGCAGATAGACAGGAAAGTAGTAATGAGCATAATTTCTGATTTTACCAAAGCAAGCCAATCAGTAGAATGGAAAGGGGGAGAAAAAGGAAGATGACATGCATACAGATACTACACCTTCTCTCGCTTTCTCATGTTACATGATCTTCTATGATGGCATTAAACTCCATAGCTCGCCAATATTTTTTTTTTCTTTTGCAATAATGTAGATTACATTATACTCAGCAGTAAGTAAGAAAATATAAGCACCACAGTGATATTCTTTTTCCATTCGAAAACAAAGTTACTTGAAAGATGGCATATTATTGGATCTTTTGATTAAAGTGGGAAGTAATGGAGCACTGAGTAACAATATTTTAATGTCAATTTATATGAGCTAAGCACTACCTTTAATACCTTGAAGTCATCAACTTTAAAAAAACTTTATCTAAGACATATCATCCACATATTGAAACATCTAGCCAATTAAATGTGACAGCAGCCTGAATAATTTTTTAGTGGCAACGTGAACATCTTCATAAAACCTTGTTTTCAACATTTCGAAAGTGAGGGGTTCTTTGCAAGTGAGTAGGTGGCTGCTTGGTTGGTGTGTGGGTGTGTGGTGGGTGGGTGAAGCTACCATTTTTGTCTGTGGGACTAAAAAGGGCAACATGTGATAATCTGAGATTTAAGTTTACATTTATGAACTTCTTTCTAAAAGACACCTTCCAGCTCGTAAAGCCCTAAAGATATGTCATCTAGCATGTGTTGTTCTTGATAGCTTATAAATTATCAGCCTGCTTGATTGCTCATCACAACATGAAACACAAAAATGATTCTATCTTATGTATCAAAGAAATGTGAAACCCTGCATTATTACATTAATTGAGCTATGAAATAGCTTCATATGTTTTATCATAAACTTCTTGATTATATGGAAATGTGACATAGGAATTGAGAGAACAAAAAATGCAATTAACGTCATAAAACTACATATGCAAATCGCTTTAAAGTAACCATTAGCTAAAGTTTCAGGTTCCGTTACCTCCAAAAGGAGAAGAAAGTTATCTGGCATCACATTTAATGAATGACCATGGATATACCGAAGCACGCTGAGAACTCCTTCAGTGTTCCATTGAACTGAGACTTGATGAAGACTTGATTCACTGTGTGAAAAATGAAGATGAAAGTGAGTATGGATAATGGAAGAATTGCCACCTTTCACCAACTAACCACCATTCATTCCAAGCCTACTCACAACTTTAATCTATCAATTCCAGGACCTTTAGAATTTAAATATTAGGAAAAAAATATCATCTTTGAGCATCACGTCTGCTTCAAATAAATATTGCATTAGGAGCAGGATAACTAGTATTGTTAGACTTTACACGCTGAAATAAATATTTTCTGAGAATATTCAAATGGAAACCACAGAAGCACTGGATGGATATTTACAATTGTACAAGAAATTTCAAGAGGAGAAAATTTATTTGTATGAGACCTAAATGAGCAATCAGTGAAGGCAGTGTAGAAAATGCGGGCAAAATCAGGAAAATTGAACCTGAGAAGTAGCTACAAGGATCCTCGGGTCGGTCGACCGAAGGAGCAAGGCCGATCGACCGACGCAATCGCCAGAAATAAGGAAACAGTCATGCTTCTGGTCAGTCGACCGACCATGCTCATGCGATCGACTGACAACGTGCAAAGTACAAGGTTGAAAACCCTACTTCTAGCCGGTTGACCGATGGCATGAGTTCGGTCGACCGAAAACGGATACGGGCTAAATTAGGTTTCCTGACTTGTTTTGGATTGGGGTTTGATATAGATTGAAGCACACGTTTTTAGGGTTTCTCAATGAGAGAATTAGCATTGTTTTGAGCACTTTGAGAGGGAGATATTGTGAGGAAGTTGAGAGCTTTGGTTAGGGTTATATTCAAGTGATTTTGTGAGTTGTAACCTGTTGTATTTCTCCTCCATATAGTAAAATCTTCCTATCCTCGGAGAGGACGTAGGCAATTGCCGAACCACGTAAATTCATGTGTTTGGTTTGGTTTGTGTCATATTTTGGTAAATTGCACTCGTAATTTGGTTTGGTTCTCTTCTCTCATCGCTCACCGACTCGTATGGTTGTCGAGCACACTTCCGTACGGCGTGTAACAATTGGTATCAGAGCTCTAGGGTTTCAAATCTAGGGTTTTGTATTGGGTGGAGGAAGATTCGTTGTTTGAAGTTTGGTTCTTAGATCTCTAGGCTTCGGTGGAGATAGCGTTGAGGAGTTGCCATTAGGATCTCGCTTTCTTGTGTGGCTAGGAGATCGTGTTGGAACCCTATCTAGGATTTAGTTGGGTAATTTCTCCATTCTATCAAGTTCGGATCTTTCTTTACAATTTGGAGTTTGCAAGCATGGGAGAAGAAGTTGGTGAAAACGGCAAGACAATGATGAATACAGTTCAGGTTGGACTTCAAAATACTAAAATTAGTGTAGTGAAGTATGACGGTAAGAACAATTTTGGTTTGTGGATGAGCGACGTACATGACGCTCTCAATGCTTAAAATTTGAAAGAGACCATCATGATCCATGAGAGGTCACCGAAATACGATGAGACGATATGGGACAAGATGAATAGGAACGCTTGTGGGGTGATCAGGTCTTGTTTGGAATAAGAGCTGAAACACGATGTGATTGATGTAACGTCTGCCATGAAGATGTGGGTGATTCTTAACAAGAAGTACCTTACGAAGAGTGTTGAGAATCGATTGTACTTGCTGCAGAGATTATTCAGATTCCAGATGTCCAGGGGCACCTCACTTGCGACTCATGTGAACAGCTATACAAAATTATTGTCGGACTTGACAAACGTGGATGAGAAGATAACAGACGAGTAAAAGGTAATTATTTTGTTGGGCTCCTTACCCGATGAGGAGTATGATACATTCGTGCTCACTTTGTTGAACGGGAAATCTTTCATTACCTACAGTGAAGACTAACGTATTAACGAATCACGATTTGAGGAGGAAGGGCAAATAGACTTCCCGAGCTAGCACTTCAAGAGAGACCTTGTTGATGAGAGGAAGAAGTCCATATCCAAGAGGTGGCAATAAAGACATGTCAAAGTCAAAAGGTCATCACCAATTAGCGAAGAACCAGTGTGTGTTCTGTAAAGAATAAGAACATTGGAAGAGAGATTACCCGAAGCTCAAAGAGAATGAGAATAGCAAAGAAGGGCCCGAAGGTCAATGAGGTGAACGTCACTAGAGGCGATGATTTTAATGATTCGTGTTTTTCTCTATTGATTACTCCAGAGGTGAACTATGTGCATGCATCTGATTAGATGCTGGATTCTGGTGCTACTTATCATGTGACTCGAGATTGGTTTGCATCGTTCGAGAGACTCGATGGGGGCGTGGTTGTTATGAAAAATGATTAATCCTGTGACATTTGTGGGATAGGTACCGTCAGAATCCGGATGCACGATGGAGTTATTCGTGAATTGAATGAAGTGAGATTCGTTCCTCAGTTGAAGAAGAATCTTATTTCTGTTGGAGCTTTGGAGACGAAGGGATTCAAGGTGACATTTGAGAACGCTGTAGCGAAGATTCCTAAGGAATCTTTAGTGGTGATGAAGGGAGTCCGTAATAAAAATTTATATTATCTGAAAGAAAGCACCGTGATTGGCCATGTAGCTTTAGCTATTTCAGAGGCGAACGCAAGCAGACTTTGATACTATAGGTTGAGGCACAAAAAAAGAAAATCACTGCAGTCTTTGTGCAAGCAGGTTCTATTGAAGGAAGCCAAGAATGAAAAAATAAAATTCTGTGAGCATTACGTTCCTGGCAAGAAGGCAAAAGTGAAGTTCAGGACAGTCATACATAGGACAACGGGCATCTTGGACTACGTGCACACAGATGTTTGGGGTCCCACCAAGACGACATTACTTGGTGGTCGACATTGGTTCGTTACTTTTGTAGATGACTATTCTAGGCATTGTTGGGTATACACCATGAAGCATAAAAATAAAATCCTAGAGTTATTTGTGGAGTGAAAGAGAATGTTGGAGCTGCAGACATGGGAAAGATCAAGACGTTGTGATCCAACAACGACGATAAGTATACTTCAGACCCCTTTTAGCAGCTATGTTGAGACGATGGCATAGAGAGACACTTTACAGTTAGTCATACGCCGTAGTAGAATAGAGTGACAGAGAGATTAAATCGATCATTATTGGAGAATGTCTGATGTTTGTTATCGCAGAGTGGTTTGGAAAAAAAATTTGGGCTGAGACACTTTCATATGCGAGTCACCTCATTAATAGGCTGCATTCATCCGCGATTGAGAGGTATGAAGATGTGATCGGGAGAGCCAACACGTGATTATGATCAACTCAAGGTATTTGGATGCCCTGTATTTTATCATATCAGAACTGATAAATTAAAACCTCAAGCTAGTAATGCCATATTTATGAGATTCAAATGATGTGTCAAATGATACAAGCTTTGAGATCTAGTTGATAAGAAGATTGTGCTGAGTAGAGACGTCACATTCGATGAGGCTTCGATCTTGAAGCTTCTCAGCTCTCATCGGGTGAAGAGCATCCTAACAGAGGAGATATCATAGGTGATGGAGATTGATGCAGTTCCACATTGTTCAGATATGATCGTATCTATTAAAGTGCTGACTAAGGTGACGCTAGGCGAGCATGGCGATGATTTGAAGGATACAGGTACAGTTGAGCAGGATTAGTTACCGATGGTTTAGGTTCAGGATTCTATTGCGGTTTGAAGGCTGAGGAGAGACATACGGATGCCAACGAGGTATACAGACACAGTCGTTGCGTATGCACTTCCGGTGAAGAGTATCGATGACATGGTTCCTACTACATTCAGAGAGACCGAGCAGAATTTGAAAGCTGATTTGTGCAGATGGCTATGCATGAGGAGATGGAGTCTCTTCATAGGAACGACACATGGGAGCTTGTCGAGCTTCAAAAGGGACAGAAGGCTATTGGTTGCAAGTGAGTGTATACGAAGGAGGGCATTGAAGGCACTCCCGTGAGGTTCAATGCTAGGTTGGTTGCGAAGGGATATGCACAGGAGGAAGATATTGATTACAATGAGGTCTTCTCTTCAATGGTGAAGCATTCTTCGATTCGGATTTTGCTAGCTTTGGTAGCACACTAAGTTGCATGGAAACAGACACGGGTACGGGTGCGGGTACGGAACACGGAAAAACTGTAAAATGTAGGGTACGGGGACACGACTATATATATATATATTGAATTAATATTGTACATAAGATAATTTTTTCCCCTTCATGTGTCATTAGAATTAAAATTTCGATCATATTTTTGAGTTTCTTTTATCATATTGATTATCGTGAATTGTAAACTACTTTTTTTTTTACTAGACATCTAAACGACCCATTAACTATATAGTTTTAAACTTGGTTATGGACTGAAACGAATACGACCCGTATCTCATTAGTTTTAAAAGACGAATGTGAAGTGTAAGCTCTACGTTCCGGAAGTCTTTGACAAGTGTTTTAAATTAACACATATATCGTATAATTGAGTACATATTGTAATAAATGCATACATATATTCAAGAAGTGTCCATGAAGTTTGGGTATGAGAAAATGTCGGGTACGTGTCCAGTACGGGTACGGCTTCATTATAGAAGTACCTGAGTAACATAGGTGACACAGTATGGTTTGATATTAGATCAATTAGATGTAAAAACAACATTTTTTCATAGTGATATTAATGAGGAAATCTATATGACTCAGTCATTGGGGTTCCTAGCTGCAGGGAAGGAGAAATTGATTTGTAGATTAAAAAAATCGCTATACGGACTGAAGCAATCTTCGCGACAGTGGTATAGGCGATTCGATGGGTTTATGCTCGGTCATTCGTACATTAGGAGACAGTTTGATCCTTGCGTGTATTATCGAAACTTCGCAAGTTGCATGAAGGTACGTACATTTACTTATTGTTTTATATCGATGGCATGTTAGTTGCTTCTATTTCCAGATCCGCTATAGATAGATTGAAGATTCAGTTTTTGAGCGAGTTCGAAATGAAGGATTTGGGTGAAGCGAAGCGTATTTTGGGAATGAAGATCGGCAGAGACAAAGATAGGAGCATAATTTATTTGACACGGGTGGCTTATTTGAAGAAAGTTCTACAACGGTTCAATGTGAACATGGAGACGAAGCCAGTTAGTGTATCATCGGGAGCTCATTTAAAACTTTTAGCTGACCTTTCACTAAAGAAAGTTAAAGATAGAGAGTTGATGTCGAAAACTCCATATGCGAGCGTAGTGGAAAGTTTGATGTACGACATGGTTTGTACGATGCCGGATTTGTCACATGCAGTGAGCATGATTTCGAGATATATGCGCGACCTGGGTCCGGGTCATTAGGATATCGTGAGATGGATTTTAAGTTACATTCGAGGTACTCTCAATGTTGGTTTGGTTTTTGAGTTGGACACTAGCGTTGGGCAACTATGCATAGGATACGTAGATTCGTACTACGCTGGAGATTTGGATAAACGTCGATCGACGATAGGGTATGTGTTCACTTTGACTCGAACGCTGGTGTGTTGGAAATTCACCTTACAGTCTATTGTGGCTTTGTCGACGACGGAGGCAAGGTATATGACGATTACGGACTATGAAGCACGGGCACAGACACGACGACACGGACACGGTAAAACCCAAAAAAATAGGACACGTCGACATGACTAGATTTTTTTAATATTATTATTATATATAGATAAATTTATAAAATTCAAACAACAAACAAAAATGCAGTGTTTTCAATAATATAGTATATAGATTTAGTGTATTAAATTATTAAACTTGTACGATAATTTTCATTCAATCATGCAAATTATTCAAACTTTCATACTAATATATTGCATTACTAACAACTATATTGCTAAATTTTATTTTCCTCTTTACAGGTTATAAATGGCGAATCAAGTTTCAACTAATAGCACTGCACCTAGCTCAAATAGCAATCAAGAATCAATACTCACAGTCTCGCACAGAAAATCGAATATTATCACTAGTTCATAACGTCATGACTCTACATATTGATATTAAGCTAAAGAAAAAACAGTTAATAATCAAGAGCGATAATAATAATAATAATTAATTAAGAACTAAGAGCTAGGAAGAGTAAGTTAGTTAACATTAAATCTCTCTCAATTAGTTAACATTAAATCTCCCTCTTTTTAAGTTAGGAAGAGCAAGTCTATAACTAATTACTCAAGTTCCATTCTCTCTTAACAATTAATAGTCAAGACTCAAGATAAATCTCAACAATCTCTCGGTTAACAATTAACAATCAAGAAGTTAATAAGGACAAACAAATAACAACTCATTCTTAACAGTTTACACTTAACAATCAACAACTAAGAACACAGATTTTAAGTTTAGTTGTAATTGGACAGGTCTTAACAGTTTACACTTAACAATCAACAACTAAGAACACAGATTTTAAGTTTAGTTGTAATTGGACAGGGAATATCAGCAAAACAAGTGTTAAAAAACACTAAGAACACAGATTTTAAGTTTAGTTGTAATTGGACAGGGAATATCAGCAAAACAAGTGTTAAAAAACATCGCTTAAGAGAGAAGGGTCAGAAAAAATAAAAAAGAAGGATCAGAAAAGAAGAAACAAAAAGAAAAGAAAAGAAGGATCATTGTTTGCTGTTTGTTGAAGAACATCACTGTTTGCTGAAGAGATAAGGATCAGAAAAGATACAAAGAAACGAAAAGATAAAAAGAAAACAGCATCGTTGTTTGCTGAAGAGATAAGGATCAGAAAAAAATAAAAGCTGGAGAGAGACAAAACCAATAGAAAATAAGAAAAGAAGGATCAAGAGAAAAAAAAAGGAAAACAAAATAAGAACGACCTTGCTCGTTTAAGAGAAAAAAAAGGAAAACAAAATAAAACAAAGAGAAAAGAGAAGAAGAACGCACCTGCTCGCCGTCGATTGTCGCTCGTCGTCGCCCGTCACCGCTCGCCTTTGCTGCTTGCTATTGCCGAGTGGAGAACACAAGGAGATCGAGAAAAAGAGTGGGAGAAGCAGCGAAAAACCCTAACATCTCTTATCGGGTTTAAGTGGGAAGCGGGTATACCCAATAACCCCCTGAATAATATTGTGATTCTGCCCTTTTCCTCAGGCACGTGCATGGTCGAAGGCTGCAGGCGATGCAGGGCGCTCCCCATCCGTGTCGAGAACGAGGTCAGCCATGTCGGGAACAAGTCGACATGCGTGTCGGGGTGTTGACGCGTGTCGGCGACGTTGACCACGTGTCCGACGCGTGTCCACGTCCGACACGCGTCAGACACGGAGTCGGGGCTTGTTTTCGCATGTCTGTGCTTCATAGATTACGGAGGCTGTTAAGGAGGCAATTTAGCTTCGAGGACTTTTGAAGGATTTTGGTGTTTCGCAACGATCCGTCACCATTTATTGTGATAGCATGAGTGCTATTTATTTGGCGAAGAATCGGGTCTTTCATGCGAGGACGAAGCATATCAACATTCGTTATCACTTTGTTCGAGATGTTCTTGAACATAGGGATGTGGAGCTATTGAAGGTCCACACAAAAGATAATCCAACGGATATACTCACAAAGGTGGTTCCGAGAAACAAGTTCGATCATTGTAAAAACTTATTATAAATTCGTGATTATTGAGGCCGTTAGCGGATATTTAGATGAACTAGGGCGGCTTGATCCCTTAGGAGAGGGGTACATAAGCAACAATATTGGTACAGCCGAATTTGATGAGACGATGCATTGGTGCTCATATTTGGTGTCGGTTCAGTTTTGAAAAATTTTCATCGAGGTGGAGAATTATAAAAAATACGGGCAAAATCAAGAAAATTGAAGCTGAAAAGTAGCTATAGGGATCCTCGGGTCGGTCGATCGAAGGAGCAAGGCCGGTCGACTGACGCAATCGCCAGAAATAAGGAAACAGTCATGCTTCTGGTCGGTCGACCGACCATGCTCATGCGGTCGACCGATAACGTGCAAAGTATAGGGTTGAAAACCCTGCTTCTGGTCGGTTGACCGATGACATGAGCTCGGTCAATCGAAAACGGATACGGGCTGAATTAGGTTTCCTGGCCTGATTTGGATTGGGTTTTGATATAGATAGAAATACACGTTTTTAGGGTTTCTCAAGGAGAGAATTAGTATTGTTTTGAGAACTTTGAGAGGGAGATATTATGAGGGAGTTGAGAGCTTTGGTTAGGGTTATATTTGAGTGATTTTGTGAGTTATAACCCGTTGTATTTCTTTATATTTGAGTGATTTTGTGAGTTATAACCCGTTGTATTTCTCCTCCATATAGTGAAATCTCCTCATCCTCTCCCCGTGAACGTAGGCAATTGCATAACCCGTTGTATTTCTCCTCCATATAGTGAAATCTCCTCATCCTCTCCCCGTGAACGTAGGCAATTGCCAAACCACGTAAATCTCTGTGTTTGGTTTGATTTGAGTCGTATTTTGGTGAATTGCACTCGTATTTGGTTTTGGTTTTCTTCTCTCATCGCACACCGACTCGTTTGGTTTTCGATGCACGCTTCCGCACGGTGCGCAACTGGCAGTAGTTGCACGTGAGATTACATGGTAATATATTTGAAGAGAAGAATGAAACAAGAGATGTGAATTGTTGTATTGCAAAACACGATTTCATGATCGTAATACGTCTTTTTGTTAAACTGAAGGTGAGCACTTCACGTGCTGCAATAACGGATTAAACAGTGCCCAACTAGATTTTGACCTTAGGGGGTGTTTGGTTAAATGAAGGTGACTCGAATGTGTGAAAGTCACTTATGTTTGTAAGTGTGAAAGTGGATCCATGTCAACATGAAAGTGATATGCAATGTATGTTTGTAAAAATGAATTAATCTTGGAACTAGGAAAATAAAGATGATATGGCAATTATTTATTTATTTGTTATTTAAATTCATATTACACTCTAAACTCTAATAATTATTCTGGTAACAACTAAAGAACGAATTGAAAGCCTCAGGTATATATATCATCAATTACTTGTACTAATTTTTATAGATTCTTTGTATTCTGTATTTTTTTACTTATGTACTTTATATTTTTTTTAATAACGTAATGGCTTATTAAATGCCTAGCCATGTTACAACTCTACAACAATCACGCTAAAATGTGTAGTCATGTTCATAAATTGTCTAATTCGTACTATATACATGACATAACAATGTACACAGCTATTAAATGCTATAAAAGAAATAATATAATTAGCAGGTAAGAAATTTTTTTGGGGAAGCGGTTGTTTCCACCGAATAACATGGGAAAATAAGGTAAGATAAATAATAAATATACTAATTAATTAGGAGTGGTCCCCACTTTTTCCTCATTTTTACTTGACTTTAGCATTTTTTTAGGGGAACTTAAACATGCATTAGAGCTGATGTGGACTTATTTTAACATTTCACTTTCAAAATTACTTTCAATAAAACAAACACCAAAAAGTCTTAAAATCATTTCACTTTCACACTTTTACAATTCACTTTCATAAAAACAAACATCCCCTTAGTAGGCGATATATAGGTCAACATGCAGAGATAATAAAAGAATACATCACATAAATGAAAAGTTTTCATATTTTACCAAGCTAACTCAATTATATGGATAAGAACTTCAAATTCTATATGATTTATCCCTTTCTCCAATGATCTTGGAAGTAGAAAAAATACTGACCAAGTTAGACTAACGTTTATAATTTTGAGCGCAAGAAACAACGCGAAGATCGTCAAATAAAGCATAATCAGTTCAATTTATGAGTTACCTTTTTTAAGATCCAAAATAAATTAACAAAAAATTCACAGAGTTGGGAGAGTCACCTGAAGCTCCCACTGAGCAGTCCGCGAAAATAGCAAGACTCTTCAACTAGCCTAAACGGCAATAGATTCAGTAACTAGAATCACTCTCAAGAAAATTAAACCAGCTAAAAATAATAAGAAAATATTGGAAATTGAAGCACCTGCTTCGATTGGCGTGCACTTTAACGATTCTGGAACAAAGAATCAAATCTAGGTTCCAGCTGTGGATATCTGAGGTTGAGATCGAGATCTCGTCCCGTGACGATTGGTCATCAACCGCACAAGGATCTGTGAGCTCGAGAACGACGACGTCATCGTCAGAAGGAGAAGAGGGAGCCATTGATGATCGAATGAATCAGCCCAAAACCCTAGTCCAGATGAGATAGAGATGAGACTAAGGGCTTGTTTGGATTCGTAGGGGGTGAAGGGAAGTTAAGAGAAACTGAGGGAAGGGAAGGGAAGGGAAGGGAAGGGAATTCCCTTTCCCTTGGTTACACCCCAATTTAGGGGGTAATAATTTTTATACTATTAGGGGGTGAACCAAGGTGAATGGAGGTGAATTAACTTCACCTCCCAAGTGTTCCCAAACAAGGTGAATGGAGGTGAATGGTTCCCCTAACTTCCCTTTACCCTCATTCCCCTCAATCCAAACAAGCCCTAAAGAGCAAAGTGCTGGATCTGATGTGAAGCCAGCTGACGTGTTCTCATTCGGTTTTACCCGATTCTGCTACTTTCTCGAAGCAGAGCGGGGGACCACTGTAATTTCTGTTTCTACAGTTATTGATAGGGCCCATTCTCATTTATTTCGCATTTAGCCCAGTCCATTGCCGTAGCTTAACTTGGGCTCACTTTGTTCACATCGTTATGGGCTGTGATTTACAAATTTAATAGTCCCCCGGGCCTCCACTCCAACAAAGCTTCCTCATTGGCGGAGCCCTTGGGCGTAGTGCGGACAAATTTTCAAAACCAACCCATTTGATAAACTAATTGCAAAAAACGACTCGTTTCAGATTTATTTAGAGAAATCGACCTGGTTTCAGCACTGTCGCTGAAACCAGGTCGGTTTTTCTAAAAAACTTTACAAAACTTTACGGGAGTTCAACTCCCGTGAAGTTTTTTTCTTATAACAAAACTTCACGGGAGTTGAACTCCCGTGAAGTTTCGGAAACTTTTTTTTAAAAACCGACCTGGTTTCAGCGCTGAGGCTGAAACCAGGTCAGTTTTTGCAAATAAAACTGAAATGGGTCTTTTTTTGGGAATAGTTTATCAAATGGTTGGTTTTGAAAATTTGTCGGGTAGTGCTCATTTGCGTCTGAGCTTTATGCGAAGCCTTGAAAGATTCTTATAGAGTCATTAGATAACATAAAGTCAGTATAAGATATAAGTTCAAGAATATAAATCCAGGAATTCAGGTGGGATTGAATTGGATCATATTAGTTTATTATCCTCCCATTAATAGGACATATTGCCTTCGAATTTAATTTCGGCAAATTATGCAGAATAATACCCGGCAATTAAAGTCTTGAGCATTCTCTACGTAGGCTTAGAACCAAGGAGAGGAGCGGGCAGCAAGATTAAATAAGGGATTAGATCGCATTCACACGATAGTCAAAATGCAGGGCACGAGGGAATGAATTTCATCATCAACCGTAAAATCAGAAGGCGAAGCAATACGAAAGGTACAGTTAGTATTATACGGAATTGAGACATCATCAAATATCCGACAAAAGGGAGGATCTCCATGAAAAAGGAATGAAAACAATAGTACGTAATTAATTGCATCTTTGTCGTAGCTCAAGCCTCATGACTAATTAATGTTTAAGCAAAAACCATAAAAGCAGCAAACGCCTCCACTTGGAAGCCCTAGATTCTGGTTAATAAAGTAATAAATCCAGGGATTAGGCACCCTAATTGACTAATCCAAAAAAGATAGAACTGATTGATCTATAAAATAAAAAAAATAAAAAAACATTAGATAAACGAAAATAATAAGAAGAGTATATATATATATACTAGTTTTAATTATGAGGTAATTAAATTAGTTGATTTATATTTCCTTTGTTGCTAGGTCTTCATGCCATGTCACAATCATGATTCACTACCGTTAAACCAAAAGGTTACATGCAGTTCGACATTAATTTGACCATCTCAATTCACAACGCTGCTCAAAAGTCACAACCCAAATGGAGAATACTCAAGAGTAGCAATCGGAAGACTATTTCTATTGTGAATTATTAATTTGCAAATCCAAATCGCAAGACTTTAGGTAGGTGAAATTAATATCTCTGATAGAAGTTATCGTCGTCGTGAAAGCAGTCCTAGCTAGATGGCACGCAAATTACTCAAAGAACACTTAAAATTTATGGTTATATACACCAAAAAAACATATAGAAGGATCCGAAGCTGAGATTAACTAGACAAATATGGAATTCGATTTAATTTTAATCTTTCAGCATCAGTTAGTTGTCCTGGATGGTGACATTTATACGGCAATATCCAACCAAACAAAGTAAACTAACCATCAGTGTCCGAGTCATAACCTCTAAACGCTTGAAATAATTTTGGTTTCCTTCTCACTTTTTCTGCCTTTTTGGTACATAAGAATGGATCCGGTGAAAAAAATACCTTCCATATGGTCTAACCTTTCATGAACTACAATCTTAGTTGCAGTTTCATCTACATTATTTATTTTTAGGTTTTGAATGTTAATTAACCTGCGTTGAATTTGCGAGAATTAGAGGTAAAAAAAGGGCAGCGTAGGAGGTTGATAATTAATTTGAGAGGCAAAAAATGGGACAGGTTTTCTGAGGGGTTCTCGGTTTTGGTTCACCACACAAACACTTGGGTGGCTTTGCGTTTCCCTCAAGTTTCTATCGCTTTTGTTCTTGGTGCACAACAATTAATAAACCCTTTTATTATGCCATTTTGAGAACTGTGGCGTGAGTCGGCGTGACATTGAAATTTATAAATGGGTTAAAGCAAAATCTCAAAAAGAAGAATGGTTCAACTTTTTACGTGCTAAGATTTTTGGTTATCCGGAATAAAAATGTTAACCACACAAACACTTGGGTGGCTTTGCGTTTCCCTCAAGTTTCTATCGCTTTTGTTCTTGGTGCACAACAATTAATAAACCCTTTTATTATGCCATTTTGAGAACTGTGGCGTGAGTCGGCGTGACATTGAAATTTATAAATGGGTTAAAGCAAAATCTCAAAAAGAAGAATGGTTCAACTTTTTACGTGCTAAGATTTTTGGTTATCCGGAATAAAAATGTTAAATCGATTTTGAACGGTAGATCTCAGATAATTGAAACGAAATCCTACCCAGAGGTTGATAAAATCGTGTGGAAATGCAAAACAGCACGACGAACACTATCAATCAATCGTAAACCGATGTAAAACGACACATGACGCAAATTTAAACATACCAACTTATGATTGTAGACGGTGCAGAAATCAGGAATAAGTGAGATCACCGATTTTTAAAAAAATGGATGTTGAAGTAAGTCGATTAAGTTCAAAAATTACCAAATATACAAAGCCCCAGCTTAGCTGTCTACAATCCCTGGCTCGCCTAAAATCCAAAGCCATTAGCAGAATCCCTGCACGTTTGGGCCCACAAAAACCCATGAAACCACCAACCGCCATCTTTCACAACTCCACATGGGCCAACCAAACGCTGCCGGCCCAACCCACCAAAACCCCCTTCAAAATACCCCTCGCCTTTCTCTCTCTCTCCCTCTCGCTCGCCCCTCTCATCCCGTTCTCCTCCCACTCGTTCTCTCTCTCTCTCTCTCTCTCTCTCTCTAAAAACTTTCACCGATGCCAGACGATCTCGCCGACGACCTCAACAGCATGAGCTTCGGCTCATCGGAGACCATCTCCACCGCCTCCTCCGCTTCTGGCCCGCTTTCCAGCGGGCCCCACCGCAAGCTCACCTTGGCCGACCTCAGGTTCGTGCAGCGCCTCGGCAGCGGGGACATTGGGAGCGTGTACCTGGCGGAGCTAAAGTGCGCCTCTCCTTCAGAGGGGTGCATGTTGGCGGCGAAGGTGATGGATAAGAAGGAGCTGGAGGGGAGGAACAAAGAAGGGAGGGCGAGGACAGAGAGGGAAATACTGGAAATGTTGGGGCATCCATTTTTGCCCAAACTGTACGGAGTAGTGGAGAATGAACGGTGGTCGTGTCTCCTAACGGAGTTTTGCCCCGGCGGCGACTTGCACGTGCTGAGGCAGCGGCAGCGAGGGAAACGCTTCGACGAGGCCGCCGTCAGGTTAGGCGCAATTTAGCAACCATCGCTGCATAGTTTGTTTGTTCCTTTTTAGGGAGTGAATCTAGCCCATCATTCTTATCTTTCAATAAAGTGGGGACTATACGATTACTTTTCTGTTATTAGTTTTAAGAATTTTTTTTTTTGGGGGGATGGGATGGAATTTTTTTATGATTCGTGAGGTGGGGTTCTTTTTTTGAATTTGAACATTTTTGGATATTAAAAAAATATATGGTTATTCTGGATATGGCAATTTTCTTGTTTTTTCCCTCTCTCTACAGATGTGAAACATTTGTCTTCATTGGTTTTGGACCGCATATTCTTATTATGTCAATAAATTTCCATTTTCAGGGATTTTCCCAATAAAGTTAATTAAAATTGCATTAATCCTTCATTTCAGTTATCAGTCAGTTCTCGAAAAGGGGGAAAATATTGGGGGGGGCATTTGACAATTTAGAAGTGAATTTGAAAATGTGAAACTAACCGTTTTTTGCAAATAAATTTCATATCCACTCAAGCGTGCAATTATAATACAATGTTTATCTGAAAAACAAAATAATTATTGAAAGTACAAGTGACAAAATATGATTAATTAATAAATATATTTAAGATCATTTAATTAAAAACAGCCTCTATTTCTGTTACTTTTATGTTATTTTTTAGAAAGAGTTAAAATTGCATTAAATTTTATGTGATATCTTGTTTGTATTTCATTTTTATATTTGTTTGCATATAAACAAACACAAAGTGTCAAAAGGGGTCAATTTTCTTCTTCATCACGTTGCATGCAAACAAACTCTCTAGAAAACATCGACAATAAGATTGATTGGCTTTTAAATTATAGAACGAGAGGGATAGGTAAGTAAGTTGGTTCACAAATGGGCAGTTTGCATCCGAGAAAACTCTGTTTTACTAAATCCTTTATATGTTTGATTCATAGAAATAGAAATGTCATTATTTATTAATCAGCGAAAAGAAATGATAATTTGTTGGTATTTAATTATCATCATTAGTTTTCTAGACCTCGGATAGGCTTGCTAGCTGTATCTCCTGTATTCGACATTGACTGATCAAAGTAATCAAAGAGATCATTCATTGAGTGGCTAGCCTGCCTCGTTATAACTATTTCATAGGACCCGATGCTCAAGGAGCTTTAATCTTGTAACTACCGATATTAATAATTATAAAAAAAATTCTTGGAAAATATAATTAGAACCGTACAAGTCATGTACAGGAATATATAGGGAAGGATTGTTCGTTATGCCCATGTCCGCCTTTTGATCAGTGCTACACGACACACTCATGGCTTTGGTCTTTTCACAACCCCTTTGAGGTCATTTCCGTAAACATCAAAGTCCAATCTCCGTCATAAGTAAATTCATGGCAATTATTCTATCAAGTTCCCCACTAGAAGAATGTTACACGTCACAGCAAGACCAATGGCTTAATTTGAGAAATCGACGTGCTAGTTCAACTGTGACTCAATTTGTTTAATCCTTCCATGTCTCCTGCATCTTGTATTAATTAACCCTAATTCTATATTGTTTAGAAGCTCGTGGTGGTGGGTTTTTTTTATCACATGCTGGCGTCGTGTATCGGGATCTAAAGCCGAGAACGCGTTCTGGTTCGATCCGACAGGACATTAATGCTCACAGATCTTCGACCTGTCTCTGAAATCGGAGCGTGACCTCGCAGGCCGTCCAAACTCGTAATCGAACAACCGGTCCGGGGGCGGCTTGCGTGAACCCGTCGGCGCCCTTCAACTCGTCGTCGTGCATTATTCCCAACTGCATCGTGCCTGCGGTTTCATGCTTTCATCCGAAGAGCAAGCGGAGGAGGAAGCCTGGACATCGGAGTGCGGGTGGGCTCGAGTTCGTTGCTGAGCCCGTGGATTTGAGGTCCATGTCATTTGTTGGCACGCACGAGTACTTGGCTCCTGAGATCGTATCAGGTAACTAAAATTGGCGGTATTCATGTTAATTTCGTACTAATCTCAGGGTGCAACTAATAAATGCAACGCACGCTTTAATGAACTCAAATCTACTAATATCGCATCAGGTGAGGGCCATGGAAGCACGGTAGACTGGTGGACTCTAGGCGTTTTCATCTTCGAGCTCCTCTACGGAGTCACCCCGTTCAAAGGATCCGATAACGAGCTGACACTGGCAAATATCGTCGCCCGTGCACTCGAGTTCCCTAAAGACCCACCGGTATCATCCGCCGCAAAGGATCTCATAGCGGGGCTGCTCGCTAAGGACCCCATTAAGCGAATGGGGTCCGCGACGGGCGCTACAACGATCAAACGCCACCCCTTCTTCACTAATGTAAATTGGGCGTTGCTTAGATGCGCATCTCCTCCGTACGTTCCCCCACCGTTCAGTCGGTGCAACAGCAGTCGGGATGTTTCGGAGGACGACAGCGGTCCGGATACTCCTGTGGACTACTATTAGACATCGAATTTGCATCCCCTCATCTATATATATTTGTCTTAATTAATTGCCCACCCCAATTACGATTCATTCGGGACATAACTAACATCCGGTCCGAATCCTAGGCACCAGGAGCAAGATCAATCTCTTAACTAATCTCAGTTCTAAGTACATTCACTAGTACAAAACTGATCTGTCCAAACAGTTATTAGAACCGTTTGGACAAATCGAAATAGCCCAAATGGTTCAAAACGTTTGGGTTAATTATTCCAAACGGTTACAACCGTTTGGGCTATTAAATAATCCCAAACAACGCTTCCAAACGGGTTAAACTGTTTGGGATATTTGAGCCCAAACGGGTTAAAACCGTTTGGGAGTTATGTTAGGGTTAAAAAAATTTGCCAGGAATTTTTATGACCCGCGCTTCCTCCCCAAATTTCACCCGCGCGGCGCCAACAAATTTCATCGATATCTAAATACCAAATTTCAAGTCCTCCCCAAATTTCACTCGTGATCTTCGCCCTCTCCTCTCTCGTCTACTCAAGTCGATCTTCGCCTCCGCCTCATCTTTGCCTGACGCACCTCCGACTCATCTTCGTCGCCGACCCTAATCACCCCCCCTCTAGGGTCTAACATATTCCAGGCTCGCGCCGGTGAAGTTTGTGTAGTCATCGGGGTGGGTCTGAGGAGATGAGATATTGTGATTGTTGATGCATATTTCGGGCTTGCGCCGGTGAAGTTTGTGTAGTCACCGGGGTGGGTCTGAGGAGTTGGGATATTTGTTCTTGTGATCAGTCAGTTATCCGATGATATGAGCGTTGGCTCTGTGTGAGATAGGGACCAGTGAGTTGTGATAGGATGGCTAGTTATTTTCTTTTCATACATAGACCAGGATGAATATTTAATTATCTACAATTTGAGACATATGGTATATATATGAGGGTTTCCTTGTTTGGATTATTTCGCTCGACGTACTACGTCTCTTGTTGTAGATTATTAAGTATTAATTCCATCTAGTGTATGCCATTGTAACTTGGATGATTAGTCTGATCGCTAGTGTAGACGGTAAAAAAATACCTCTATGGACTTACTGGAAATTCGCCTGCAAGAAGAACTCGTACGTTCAGTTCTCTAGCTCGGGCCTGAGCTGCGTAGACACCAAATGTATTCGATTCTAGGTTCGCCTAACGATCGGATCGATTGGGATAGCGGAAGTCCGCCTTTTACTCAACTCGCCTGCACGAGTCCAAAGACGAATCCGCCTGCAAACCTCGAGGCCGTTAGCACAGCTGGGTATCCACTACCCCACGTGCTGAGATGGGCCTTGCCATCCCTCTCGACCCGAAGGGAGAGGGCACAGTACCCCAAGACCGTCAAGCGACCGCTCACAGTACGCACAGCACGAAAGATGAGACAGGTGTCGAGTCAACCTGAGCATTCATAAATACGACTCACCTCAGCTGTCTAAGTCAGGAGACGGATCCGCCAGCATTCGGCGAACTGTCCAAACCCACTCGAGTGCTAGGAGCATGCTTTCCCGCCTCTCTCGGCCTGAAGAGAGAAGACATGGTACTCCAGGCCTGCCGAGTAGCCGCCCACAGTACAAGTGAGCAGACAGGTGTTAAAGCAGCCTGCACCCTCATAAATGCGGCTCACCTCAGTTGTCTAAGTGAGGGGTGAGAGCCGCCGGCGCTCGTTGGTTGGTCAGATCCACGCAAGCATCCGACAGCAGTTGTCACGAATACGAGGAGGGGCCTTCCCACTCTTACGTGACGTGATGCAAAGTGCAGCTCCTCGAATAACCGCCCATGGTACAGGTGAACAGTAGGCTATCCCTGAACAACGTATGGTCACATCCCATAATTCAAGGAACAGCCAAAGAGCCACGCCATCTCTCCACTATGTAAGAACTTCTTCCACCCAAGGAGAAGGGGTTCAAGTTTCAGCTTTTCTTCCAAGTCAAGAAGAAGAGACTCAACTGTTCTAGCTATTGAGCAATCCGTTCATAGTTGGATCAGCTGATTGAACCATAAGCTCTCTGCATAATCTTTGCATTGCAGCACCACTGCCTAGTTCCGAGCTCCGATCGCCGGCGAACTAAGCAGACTCGAACTCTATTGCCCCGAGCTTCTACTGCGTACTGAAGCTCTCCAGCAACCTCATTCAAACGGTCCAAGGGAAGCAGACTCGACACGAGCATCGAGCGAAGCGTCCTACAGCCACCTAAAGTCCCCACACAAAACAAAGAGGGCTTTCCCTCTGCTTCTGTTGTAAACATTTGATTTGTTAGTTTGTAATAAGCCTTCTTATCAATACAAACAAAACTCCTTGTTTCCGAGAAATCAAATTTTCACCCTACAAAAGATGGCGACCACAGTGGGAGAAGCTGTTTCATCGAACGAAATGGTGGTGGCTCAGTTTGATGAGGTTACTGTCGGGATGACCGTGGAGTCCCTAGAAATCAAGTTCGACCAGGCCAAGTACGAAGAGTACTTGTCTTCCTCCTCCTCTGGTGGCGATGCGTCCCGCAAATGCCACAGAGTCGTGCGTCGAGGCCGACCTCAGACGGTCAAAGCCTCTGCACCTGAGGGTTCCACCCGAATCTCATCGGAGGAACCCACTCCCTCGCAATCGATCAAGGCCAACCCAGAGATCGAACGCAAGGGACAAGGGTCTGCCAAATGGGTCGCCAAGCGATCCCCGCGGACACCTACCCCGAAGGGAACGCCGGTTC